TCTCTGTCCGAGCGGTGACTCGCACCACCTGCCATGATGTAGGAGGAGGCGGCGGGGGAGGCCAGGCCTGAGGGCTGGCTGGTGATGGGGTCCCAGCCCTCAGAGGACGACAGGCAGTACAGGCCCTGAGACACGTACGAGTGAGGCCACACGTCTGCTGAGGAGTGGTGCAGCATCTGGTCTGAGGAGCAGAGGGGGGAGAGGTGAGAGGGGAGAGGAGGAGAGGAGAGAGAGGGTGGGGGAGAGGGCACAGAAGAGGAGAGAGAGGGGGGGAGGTGGGGGAGAGGTGAGAGGGCACAGGAGAGGAGAGAGAGGAGCAGAGGGGAGAGAGAGAGGGGGAGAGTAGGAGAGGGTGGGGGAGAGGGACAGAAGAGGAGAGAGAGAGAGTGGGGGAGCGTATGAGCTTCCCAACCAGAAGGTCCTGGGTTTCAATTCCACCTCCTCTCTGTGCGGAGTTTGCATGTTCTCCCTGTGTCTGTGCAGGTTTCCTCCAGATGCTCAGTTTTGTTTTTTACAGAAGCTGTTCTGTGAATCCATGATGAGGAAAGGGGGAGGGGAGGAGTGATGTCATCGAGAATCACTCTTCATGTGAGAATACAGTTTACTCATTATGAAAACAACTATGAGGCAGCAGTTTTTTGTCTCTCTGTTTCACAATCCTCCAGGCCAAAAACCAGAGAGAGAGGAGAGAGAGACCAGAGAAAGAGACCAGAGAGAGGAGAGAGAGACCAGAGAAAGAGACCAGAGAGAGGAGAGAGAGACCGGTGAGAGAGCAGAGAGAGAGAGACCAAAGACATCTCTCTGATTTAACTTGTTTTGTTCAGCAATTGGAGTTGCGTTGTTTGTAGTATCAGTGGTATCAGATATAAAGCCTTATTGTAACTTCTTAATAATATATCAAAACAAAGTCTTTCTCCTTTATCTGCCTAACAACTGCTTCAATGACTTCATTGTCTCTCTCTGCTCTCTCTGTCTGCTCTCTCTGGTCTCTCTGCCTGCGCTCTCTCTCTCTCTGCTCTCTCTGCCTGCGCTCTCTCTCTGCTCTCTCTGCCTGCGCTCTCTCTCTGGTCTCTCTGCCTGCGCTCTCTCTCTGGTCTCTCTGCCTGCGCTCTCTCTCTCTGCTCTCTCTGCCTGTGCTCTCTCTCTGCTCTCTCTCTGCTCTCTCTCTTTCTGCTCTCTCTGTCTGCTCTCTCTGGTCTCTCTCTCTGCTCTCTCTGTCTGCTCTCTCTGTCTGCTCTCTCTTTCTGCTCTCTCTCTGTCTGCGCTCTCTCTCTCTGCTCTCTCTCTGTCTGCTCTCTTTGTCTGCTCTCTCTGTCTGCTCTCTCTTTCTGCTCTCTCTCTGTCTGCTCTCTCTCTGCTCTCTCTCTCTCTGCTCTCTCTCTCTGCTCTCTCTCTGGACTCTCCTTCCTAAATAACTTCTCTCAGATTGTGTTTTGTGTCTCAGCCGCGTAGCTCTGAACCCAGCTGCGGCTCGTAGACGTCCTCCAAAAGTCCTTTCCGGCCGGTCGCCTCCATAACTGACACGGCTATTTTTAGCTGCAAACAAGACTCTAATTTACACAAACCTCCGCTGTAAGCACAGCAGAACCCCAGTCCTCGCACTGTCAGGACGCCTAAGGTCAACACACAATCAACATTTATTTGTATAGCACAATGCTTGTACAAGGCAATACATTAATATTTGACTATTCCATATTAAAATAGAGCAGCCCAAAAATATTGGGGTTTGAAAAGGAAGAATCAGTTGTATGTGCAACTAACGGATATGTTTTAAAGAGTAATGGAGCATCTGGAGGAAACTTACGCAAACACAGGAAGCACATGCAAACTTTGTGTGTGCATGTGTGTGTTTGTGTTTACCTCTGCTGGTGATGCTCTCCTGGTTCCTCTCTCTCTGGTCCCACTCTCTGGTACCACTCTTTGGTCCCACTCACTGGTCCCACTTTCTAGTCCCACTAGCTCTGGTCTCAGCTCTGTGTTTGATGGTTTCCTCTGCTGGTGACGCTCTCCTGGTGTGTGTTTGATGGTTACCTCTGCTGGTGACACTCTCCTGGTGTGTGTTTGATGGTTACCTCTGCTGGTGACACTCTCCTGGTGTGTGTTTGATGGTTACCTCTGCTGGTGACACTCTCCTGGTGTGTGTTTGATGGTTACCTCTGCTGGTGACACTCTCCTGGTGTGTGTGTGTTTGATGGTTACCTCTGCTGGTGACACTCTCCTGGTGTGTGTGTGTTTGATGGTTACCTCTGCTGGTGACACTCTCCTGGTGTTTGGGTGTTTGATGGTTACCTCTGCTGGTGACACTCTCCTGGTGTGTGTTTGATGGTTACCTCTGCTGGTGACGCTCTCCTGGTGTGTATGTGTTTGATGGTTACCTCTGCTGGTGATGCTCTCCTGGTGTGTGTGTGTGTGTTTGATGGTTACTTCTGCTGGTGACACTCTCCTGGTGTGTGTGTGTTTGATGGTTACCTCTGCTGGTGACACTCTCCTGGTGTGTGTGTGTTTGATGGTTACCTCTGCTGGTGACACTCTCCTGGTGTGTGTGTGTTTGATGGTTACCTCTGCTGGTGACACTCTCCTGGTGTGTGTGTGTTTGATGGTTACCTCTGCTGGTGATGCTCTCCTGGTGTGTGTGTGTTTGATGGTTACCTCTGCTGGTGATGCTCTCCTGGTGTGTGTGTGTTTGATGGTTACCTCTGCTGGTGACACTCTCCTGGTGTGTATGTGTTTGATGGTTACCTCTGCTGGTGACGCTCTCCTGGTGTGTGTTTGATGGTTACCTCTGCTGGTGACACTCTCCTGGTGTGTATGTGTTTGATGGTTACCTCTGCTGGTGATGCTCCCCTGGTGTGTGTGTGTTTGATGGTTACCTCTGCTGGTGACACTCTCCTGGTGTGTGTGTGTTTGATGGTTACCTCTGCTGGTGACGCTCTCCTGGTGTGTGTTTGATGGTTACCTCTGCTGGTGACGCTCTCCTGGTGTGTGTTTGATGGTTACCTCTGCTGGTGACACTCTCCTGGTGTGTGTGTGTTTGATGGTTACCTCTGCTGGTGACGCTCTCCTGGTGTGTGTTTGATGGTTACCTCTGCTGGTGACACTCTCCTGGTGTGTGTGTGTTTGATGGTTACCTCTGCCGCTGACACTCTCCTGGTGTGTGTTTGATGGTTACCTCTGCTGGTGACACTCTCCTGGTGTGTGTGTGTTTGATGGTTACCTCTGCTGGTGATGCTCTCCTGGTGTGTGTTTGATGGTTACCTCTGCTGGTGACACTCTCCTGGTGTGTGTGTGTTTGATGGTTACCTCTGCTGGTGATGCTCTCCTGGTGTGTGTGTGTTTGATGGTTACCTCTGCTGGTGATGCTCTCCTGGTGTGTGTGTGTTTGATGGTTACCTCTGCTGGTGATGCTCTCCTGGTGTGTGTGTGTTTGATGGTTACCTCTGCTGGTGATGCTCTCCTGGTGTGTGTGTGTTTGATGGTTACCTCTGCTGGTGACACTCTCCTGGTGTTTGATGGTTACCTCTGCTGGTGACACTCTCCTTGTGTGTGTGTGTTTGATGGTTACCTCTGCTGGTGATGCTCTCCTGGTGTGTGTGTGTTTGATGGTTACCTCTGCTGGTGACACTCTCCTGGTGTGTATGTGTTTGATGGTTACCTCTGCTGGTGACACTCTCCTGGTGTGTGTGTGTTTGATGGTTACCTCTGCTGGTGACACTCTCCTGGTGTGTGTGTGTTTGATGGTTACCTCTGCTGGTGATGCTCTCCTGGTGTGTCTGTGTTTGATGGTTACCTCTGCTGGTGATGCTCTCCTGGTGTGTGTTTGATGGTTACTTCTGCTGGTGACCTCTCCTGGTGTGTGTGTGTTTGATGGTTACCTCTGCTGGTGATGCTCTCCTGGTGTGTGTGTGTGTTTGATGGTTCCCTCTGCTGGTGACACTCTCCTGGTGTGTGTGTGTTTGATGGTTACCTCTGCTGGTGACACTCTCCTGGTGTGTATGTGTTTGATGGTTACCTCTGCTGGTGACACTCTCCTGGTGTGTGTGTGTTTGATGGTTACCTCTGCTGGTGACGCTCTCCTGGTGTGTGTGTGTGTGTTTGATGGTTACCTCTGCTGGTGATGCTCTCCTGGTGTGTGTTTGATGGTTACCTCTGCTGGTGACACTCTCCTGGTGTGTGTGTGTTTGATGGTTACCTCTGCTGGTGACACTCTCCTGGTGTGTATGTGTTTGATGGTTACCTCTGCTGGTGATGCTCTCCTGGTTCACCTCGCTCAGATGGTTCACACTCCCTTGGTTTGACTCCGCCCCCACACTGTCTCCGTCCAGAGAGTTCCATCCGAACAGAGTGGCTTCAGAGATCGCAAACTGCTGCATGATCCCTGCCACAGACACACAGCACTTTACAATCTCACTCCACAACAGAGAGGAACGTAACGAGGCAGGAGGGAGGTCCGAGGCACAGGTCTGTCGTCAATATGGAGTTTTTGGTTTACCAGTAATAACATATAGACATTTTATACACACTATCATTTGGGGCATTTTCTCTCTCTCTCTGGTCCCTCTCTTTGGTGTCTCTCTTGTCCCTGTGGTCTCTCTCTCTCTGGTCACTTTCTCCTTGTTCTCTCTCTCTCTCTCTCTGGCCTCTCTTTCTTTCGCCTCTCAAGAGAGTCTCTCTCTAATCTCCCTCTATCGGCTATCTCTCTCCGGTCCATCTCTTTTTGCTCTCTCTGCTTGATGGTCTCTGGCATCTCTCTCTTTCTGGTCTCTCTCTCTCTTTTGTCTCTCTCTGGTCTCTCTCTTGTCTCTCTCTTGTCTCTCTATCTCTCTGGTCTCTCTCTGGTCTCTCTCCAGTCTTTCTCTTGTCTCTCTCTCTTTCTCTGGTCTCTGTCTATCTCTCTGGTCCCTCTCTGATCTCTCTCTCTCTCTGGTCTCTGTCTTACCAGCTGCAAACCGGGCCTCCTTCTCCCCGTCGCTCAGGTCACTATATGCATCGTTCTCCAGCCTCCTCTGCTTCTCGCTCCTGGAGAAGTTGGCTTTCCCCAGAGGACCAGCAGAGGGCGTATTCCAGCTCTGCCACTCGATCATGTGAGCTACCTTCCCCTGCGCCATCGCCGTGGGCTTTGTCACCTTGTCCTTCATGGACCTGGACACACCTGACGACGCGGGGGTAAACAACACAGTTACAACACACGTCTAGAGGAGAGAGAGGAGAGAGAGGACATGGAAGAGAGAGAGAAAAGCGGACATGGAGGAGAGCAAGAGAGGACATGGAAGAAAGAGAGGAGAGGACATGGAGGAGAGAGAGAAGAGGACATGGAGGAGAGAGAGAGGGCATGGAAGAGTGAGAGGAGAGAGGATATGGAGGAGAGAGAGAGAACATGGAAGAGAGAGAGGAGAGAGGACATGGAGGAGAGAGAGAGAGAACATGGAAGAGTGAGAGGAGAGAGGACATGGAGGAGAGAGAGAGGACATGGAAGAGTGAGAGGAGAGGACATGGAGGAGAGAGAGAGAGGACATGGAAGAGTGAGAGGAGAGAGGACATGGAGGAGAGAGAGAGCAAATGGAAGAGAGGAGAGAGGACATTAGAGAGAGAGAAGTAAGACATTGAAGAGAGAGAGAGGTAAGATATTGAAGAGAGAGAGAGGAAATGAGATGAGAGAGAGAGGTGAGTAGAATAGAGCATAGCCGAGTAGAGTAGCATAGAGTAGAGTAAAGCTGGTGGGTATGTTATGTAGGTTAGCAGAACAGAGTAGATGTATGTCACACAGCAGAGATGAAGGTGATCACAGGGACACAGTGGACTTGGACAATGGTCATGTATTTATCTGAGTTAGAGCTCAGGGACAGAGTTTTTATAGACTTTGAAATAGTTAGACATGCACCAAAACACACTGTTCAGCTTCAGCTCACATAAAACTGTTACTATGGACAAAATCACAATAGACACATCAGAGAGACCAGAGAGAGACCAGAGAGAGACAAGAGAGAGACTAGAGAGAGACCAGAGCGAGACTAGAGAGAGACCAGAGACAGACTAGAGAGAGACCAGAGCGAGACTAGAGAGAGACCAGAGAGAGACTAGAAAGAGACCAGAGAGAGACTAGAGAGAGTTCAGACAGAGACTAGAGAGAGACTGGAGAGAGACCAGAGAGAGACTAGAGAGACCAGAGATAGATCAGAGAGAGACTAGAGAGAGACCAAAGAGAGACTAGAGAGACCAGAGAGAGACTAGAGAGAGACCAGAGAGAGACTAGAGAGAGACCAGAGCGATGTATACTATGCCTACACCAGGTGAGGGCCTAGGGTCAGAGTTGCTTTAACCAAACAACATTTTACATAATTAGAGAAACAGATGAGAGTTTGGAGGCAGAGCTGTGCTGCTAAACATAATAAATGACTCATTAGCATGTATGTCATTTCTGTAATTAAAACCTTGTTACTGCGGTTACACCGAGAGGCAACACAACATCATACTGGAGACAAACAGCCAAACACCAATTAACAAACACACAAATCAGGGACCAGTTCAGACACAGATGATCAATAACAGCTTTAGCTCAACCACGCACACACATACAAACATATACAGGCACACACACACACACACTTAAACACTAGCACCAGATCACAGCAGATCCTAACATTCGCATTAGTCACTTGTCCCCGCGGTGGAGATGCAGCTCAGTAAAGTAAGTCTCTCTTACTTTATCCTCGAATCAGATCAGATCCAATGCATCAATGGGGAGTGTGGCCCATTGACACCTGTTGAGTGTATGGGACAGTGTGGGGGAGAGGGGGGAGAGAAGGGAGGGGGGGGCACCATGTGGTATCCACGCTCCTCAAGCTCCGGCTCCAGACTCAGTTTGGTTTGGTTTTTTTTAGAAAAGGCACGAGAAACAGTGGGATGATCAGGGTCAGTGCAGACGCAGAGGGAACAGGCTCGACTGGGGTTTTAAATACAGATATAATGTTTATTTTTTAGTATATTAGCTAAACAGTATTTACACACTTCTCTGTTCTCTCTATGCTCTTTCTCTGCTCTCTCTCTCTCTCTCAGCCTCTCTCTGCTCTCTTTTCGGTCTCTCTCTCTGGTCTCTCTCTCTCCCTGGTCTCTCTCAGTCTTTCTCTCTGGGCTCTGCAACTTCCAGGATTTCACTTATTGTGGGTTATTTTTTAGAACACATCCCCCCGCAATATACAAGGACCATTGTATTCATATTAATATTTTTTATAGTTGTATTGTTTTGATATTTTGTTTTTTAAAAACAATTCATCTTCAGTATAAGAACATATGGCAGAGTTCAAGCACAAGGCAACTCATGAATAATCACAGTGCATTAAAAAGAGATCAAACTTGGCCTGTCACACATTGTCAGGAAGACTGTTCCAGCTGCCACCCCTGACTCTGGAAAAGAGAGAGCCTAGAGGGATACCAAATAGAGACCAGAGCGAGACCAGAGAGAGACCACTCTCACTTAGCCAATCAGCTCTCAGCCCAAAGAGATCTTTCTAACAAAAAAGATAAACTTTTTTTAGGGATAAACTCTGTGTGTTATAAACGAAGAGAAAGTGAGGTCACCCAGCTTTAACGTTTGTGTTTCTGTGCGATAAACATAATTATTCCTGTGTTGTGACAGACGGAAGATCATCACTCATTATGTGAAGCATTTTCAAAACATTAAAAACCGCTCCTCGTTCAATTAGCGTTTTTCATTTTCATTAAAACTGTCAGGAATCACTTCATGTGAAACGACAGAGAAAGACTGAAATACCACAGAATTATCATCTGTGGTTTTGCTTTCAATTTATTGCCAAAACAGAGGAATTACACAAACACATCACAACAGTCCAGGTTTAAGTAAAGCAGACAGCAGGAAATGGGATTATAATGAGTCCAGATTACTGTCAACATCACAAAAGCTGGAGCCATTGTACCGCGTAGCTTTAACTGTTTGTTTTATTTACCAGCAAAAGATTTATATTATATTAAAGCTGGGGTACCTGAATTTTCTCCTCATAAATAATATATGTATATCGTTCCAACCATAGACTGTGTGCAGAGGGACAGAGCGAGAACCAACTGGGACTCTGAGGAGCATAGGGACTGGCCTCCTGCTGGTCCCAGGACTAAACATGGGGAGGCAGCATTTCAGATTTATGCAGCTAAAATCTGGAACAATCTTCCTGAAAAAGTGAGACTGGCTTCTCTGACACTGCTACCACTAAAGGATTGTATCTTCACTATGTGTCTTGTTTGGTTCAGCCCTTTGAGTTGCCTTGTGAATGAACTGTGCTAAATTAAAAAAAAACTTGCCTTTCACAATATTTCATGTCACCCATATGTTTTCAACTTATTTAGTTAGCAACATTCAGGACGGAATGAATGCCTAATATTAGTTATTCCAATTGTGCACTGCATCTGACCCAGGGGGGGAGAGAGGAGGTAGATGAGGGGAGTGGAGGTAGGGGATGGAGAGGAGACATAGGAGGGGAAGAGAGAGAGAGAGAGGAGAGGAGAGAGGGGAGAAAAAGGGGAGAGGAGCAGAGGCCAGCCCCCCTCTGTCTGAGGCCGGAGCAGGAGGAGCAGGAGGCACATGGGGAGTTACCCACAGACACACACCTGACACACCTGTCAGAGAGGACTTGGCCAGAGCTCCGATCCCGTACGAGTTTGCGGACCTCCTCTTGAGACGCGGTAAGATGGACGTGGTGTCCTCCATCGACAACTGCGCAGACACACAAAAGAACAGACTGTAGACAGATGTTACTTACTAGCTCAATAGGAAAGTGTTCCTGGACAAGGTTTTGCCCCGACTCTCTCTGGCTCCCCCTTATTCATGCAAGCTTTCTCTGACTGAAGGCCAATACTTATATTGCTCATACTTGGTAGAGCATTGGCCTTTGAGCCTGAAGGTCGTGGGTTTGAGCCCCCCACAAGACTTTCTCCACCGACTCCCACTGTCTGCTGTCGTTGTGTCCTTGGCAAGACACTAACTTCTACAGTTGGGCGGCTGCGGCTGTAAAGTGCCAAACTGCCATTGTATCCTTCGGCAAGACACTTCACCCCCATTGCCTAGAATGAGTCTGGTGTGTGTGTGTGAATGGTTGGTGGTGGTCAGAGGGGCCGATGGCACACACTGGTTGCCTCGCTTCTGTCAGTGTGCCCCAGGGCAGCTGTGGCTACAGTAGTGGTTTATCACCACCGTGTATGGAGTGAAAGAATAATGACATGTGAAGCATCTTTGAGTGTCCAAAAAAGCGCTATATAAAAACCAAGCATTATTATTATTTACAAAGACAATCACAATATGTACATCACAGAAAGCACTAAACTCTGGATTTTCTCTCTCTCTCTCTCTCTCTAGTCTCTTGTCTCCCTCTCTAGTGTCTCTCTAATCTCTCTGGTCTCTTTCTATAGAATTAAGAGTGTAACACACGTTTCCATAGAAACTGGATGTATATCCACTGTTGTCCTTGGGCAAGACACTCTTTGAATGAAGTTTCTATGTTTCATTTCAGTGGGCTCAGTCTTCAACACAAAACAAACTTGAGACCAGAGCAGGGCAGCTCCTAATGAGGTCCAGCTTTACACTAATTATACTAATACACCACAGAGACTCAGAGAGAGGACGAGGAGGGGAGGAGGAGGAAGAAGAGGGAGGGGGAAGATTAAGTGGAGAGGGAGGAGGAAGAGGAAGAAGGGGATCCCCTTAACCTAGAAGTGGATTAAGGGGAAGAAGAGGAAGAGACTTTGAGAGTCCAGAAAAGAGATGAGTCATCATGAGCTATTATTGTTTTAATTATTATCATTATTATTGTTGTTGTTGTTAATACTATTATTATTAGCAGTAGTAAAATGATAAGCAGCAGCAAAAGTAAAGGTGAAATAGCAGCTGAAATGTTTTCAAACGTGCAGGTCCAGCTCAGCCTATTAGAGTTATGAAGGATTCTGTGGACTGGAGACGGTGAGAGAGGGAGAGCAGGGGGAGATAAAGGACTGCATCAGGGGGGAGATAAGGGGTAAGTGAAATCTACATGGGAGGTGATTGGAACTGGACAGAGAAACGATGAGGAGAGAGACGGATGGGAGACAGAGAGAGTTCAAACAAAGACTTACATTGACGCCTTCCCAGGAAAACTCGGCACGGCCATGCTTTAGACGAGAGGGGGAGAGATACAGGACAGAGAGGGGGAGACAGACGCAGGGGTAAGAGGACAGAGAGGGAGACATACAGGGGTGAGAGGACAGAGAGAGGGAGACAGATACAGGGGTGAGAGGACAGAGAGGGGGAGACACATGCAGGTGTGGGAGGACAGAGAGAGAGAAACAGACGCAGGGGTGAGAGCACAGAGGGGGAGACACATACAGGACAGCAGGGGGGAGCGGGGGACACAGATATAGGGGTTAATACTGAGCTGAGTGATCCGGCTCTAAACCAGGATCAAACTGGAGTTAACCAAATCAAAATAAATTATTAAGTTAAATTCTCTGTTTACAAAAGGAAATGCTGATCTCTCATTCTCTCTAGTCTCTCTCTCTCTGGTCTCTCTCTACTCTCTCTCTCTGTGGTCTCTCTCTCTGGTCTCTCTCTCTGGTCTCTCTCTCGCTCCTTCACCGCCTCCTTGTGGTCTGTAGTAGTCATTGTTCCTCAGAGCTGGACCTGGATCTTGGTTTTGTTGGATGGAGATGATGTGAGTAACCCGTGGTGACCGCCTCTGTTGCCGTGGTGACGATGCAACCATTTGCTTTTAGCTGAAGCCAGTTCACGTTGGCACCACGACTGGACGACATCAGAGTTTGAGCAATTCACGAGGCTTTAAGTTCAGTTTAACTTGATTTGAATCTAAAAGAACGGTTCTCAGATGGAACAAGCATTTATTAACTATAAATTATGAAAAAAAAGTTCATTTACACATACAAATCTTTACTGCTGTGGCTATGGGGTGAGATTTGTGTCATATTGATTCATTGATGCAAAAATATAAATTAATTCAAAATCCCAGATTTATCCATAATATCTAATTTGCGTGCTTAGATTTATTCACGTAAAATATAATTTGCACATATATATTTGTGAATAAAACGTATGTTTTGGTTTGTGAATCACTGCTTCTGTGAATAAAACGTATGTTTTGGTTTGTGAATCTGTGCCTTTGCATGTGCATTTTGAATCTGCATTTGTGAATCACCTACAGGGTGAAATCTTCTTCTTTGTGAATGTGGATATTTTTGAGACAAATTTCACACGTTTTTATGAAAAATATATGCACAGTTTTCAATCCTCGCAAAATCCGGATTTATTCAAAAAGTTAGTTTTGCATGCAATTTTTTGAACACGCATTAGAAAATAAAATCTAATTGTATTTGCAAATCTCTGGTTTTGCATGTGAGCGTTTGAGTCTGCATTTGTGAATCACTCACCGCGTGCATTCAGCCTTTGATTCGCCGAGGATCTTTTTGACACAAATATCCCGCCGCGTGGTTTTCCCAGATTTATTCTTGCAACAGCACAGTTCCCTTCGTGACCGCTTGGGGGCAGTGGGATGACGGGCCTGCACATTTCAAACAACTGGGGGTAGTGTTGTTTTCACGTGAGCTCTAATTCAATGGGTTGAACATGGCGGGACGACAGCAAGCGCCAGCCAGTGGTGAACCGCCTTCAATTGTAAGTAAAAACTCGCAAACATAATTTGTTTTATATCTGTTGACAAGTAATAATACAAGTCGTGCATTTTGTAGCGTAAATATAAAATATTCCCTTTTTAAAGTGTTGTAGTAATAGATAGACTGACGGCAACACGAAGCTAACTTTCACAGCTAACATGTTGTTGCATAGGGTTTGCGCTGCTAGATGGACATGACCATAATATTTCATTCATGTTATGACTGGTAATACAGTCTTAAGAATATATCTGGAAAATGGTTCTCAAATGGTCAGGATTTCTTTTGTTATGTCAACATCCCCGGACCAGTGTTATTGCCATTATGTCCACCGATCTTTGGCGGCTGACAGTGTGAAGTCTGGTTTTAAACTATAAATGCTCAACTAAGGTTAAAGTCTCCATGGGGAAATGCATTCGACTATTCATGCATTGCCTCTGGGGCATCTACTCAAGAGCAGTGAGCGCTCGGAGAAACATCTCCAGGTCTTTTTGCTAGCTTGGTCAGAACTATAGTTGTGCTCCCTTTTTTAGTCTCTGTCAGATGGAGCATCTGAGAATGTTGTAGTATATTATTGAAACATATTAGTATTATTTTTACACTGTTTTCATTTTCATTGTGTTGCTTATAATTACAGAAAAGGGTGGAAGCAATGGTGGAGGACCTCCTCAATACGTTGAGGGCCTCACCTGGTCCATCCACAGCCACCACACCAGCGGTCGCACCTACAGTCGCACCTACATCTAGTGCCAATCCCGCAAGAGTGCAACAGGCACTTAAAAGGTAGAATTTTAGCTAGTCCAGTGAATGAGATGTTTACAAAATGTGACTAAAGAGGTCATATTTTGGTCGGGTTTGGTCAAAGCTGAAGACATGCTGCATGAGAACATACTTTATCACAAAAACATAATAATTATATAATAACAACAAGTAACATTCACATATTTCTAGTGACATTTCTAAACAACACATTGTATGAGTCACAAAACGAATTCTCTCGGCACATGTTATGCACATATAATTTAGTATAGTTATGTTAATTGCATTGATGATTATTTCGAAAATCAATTTTTTGCGATTAATTGCTTAACTTAATGTTTCTGTATCACCTTTACAACAAAACAACTTAATCTAATTGGCTCATAATTGCTATCAATATTGCACATGATTGTTTTAATACTAGGATGTAATTACTAACTTTTTTATGTACTTAGGCAATTCCCAAATATGTTTGCCCAAAGGGAATCCAAGAAGGGAAAAGGCCGGTTTTCGTCGCGACCCATGGTCGCGCGAAACATAGATTTTAAATATCTATGTTTTGCCGGCACCCACAAGTCTGACCCCGAAGCCATCCGCAGACCTGGAGCTGGCCCAAGCAGGCCTTGGGAGAAGAGTACTCTCTCTCCCAGAGGACTGCAATCATACAGAGGTACTATTTTTCTACACAGACATGGATTTAATTGTAGATAGATATTCTATTGTAGCCAAAGTTGCCCTTGGACCGATTGACTCAAGTGAGGCTGTTAATCTGCACCACCAGCTCCTTTATCCACCACATTAAATACTAGAGGTCATTAAAGTGATTCTGAACACTAAATCAACTTTTTTTGCTACTAAACTGTGTTTGTGGTGTTGAAAATAGCATTAGGTGTGTTTAAGATGAAGTGCGCCTCGCCTCGATTCAGGGAGAGGCCAGGCTTTGGCGGCCGAGGGCGGAGGAAGGCGCCTTGAATCAAAGCAGACGCATCACGGCTCCGAGAACAGACAGGAGCCTCAGATCACGCAGCGTCTCACGTTTTGTTAGGAAGAGTTTGTGAATAAAACTATTTTAAAAGTTTGTGAACGCATTTCTGCTTCTCCCACAGTCAGAGGCCTCACCATCAGAGCAAAAAAATAGACTCTCCTCTTACAGTTTAGGATTAGAATAATTAACTTCTGCTTATTTAAATATAAGTTATATGTTGGACTCATCCTTGGCATTTCCTGTCAATGAAGCATTTTATAAATATAAATAAAGTTTGATTGATTGATTTCTGCAAAGTAGATCTCTGTGATGAGGAAAAAGGAGGCAGGAGGCTGCGAAGTGTCAGAGTGACACATTTCTGTTCAAAACACAACTCAGATCCAATCACCCGTCAGTCCGTTTCAACGCACGTGTTGACTGCACTTTATTTCCCACAATCCCTTTGGCCTTTGTAGTTCAGGCAGCCAAGCAAGGCGGTGAAGAGCAACTTAGCCCGCCTCACCAAGGTGCTGCAGCCGCCTCGCTCTCACGAGAATACCGGCACAGTCGCACAGGTTGCGTCAGAGCAAGGCGGGTGCATCTTGGATACGAATCTGACCCGGTCATCTGAAACACACCCAATGTCTACTGTTCAGTCATTGTCAGGCCAATATAGTCCCAAAATTACTGTGTTTCACTGCAGTGGCTGATAACATTCGTAGTTTCTCTGTGACATCATGCTGGACTATCCTGATTACAGCCAAGTGTGTCTGGTTAAAAACACTTGTTGCAGATACCTGTGACCAACAATTACACTGATACTTATACCTTCAGACTCCGCCCCCTCTCACTTTTTCTTCTCCAGCACTGCCCAGTTTGACAGCAAGGTTTGAAATGTGGTTTTGGGCAGATTTTAGGGTACTTTAATACTAGGGTATTTTAAAGTTATACAGTTTACCTATATTCTTTTTCCTGTGATTTTTAGATTGTGAATGCAATTGAAAAAGCATTTAGCAAACTGAAGCCTCTCCAGGGACGGTGGATGTTTTTTAAATCTACAGGTATGAATGAGTAATGTTTTTTGCACACAGATCTGTGCTGTTGTTTGTGTATTTCATTAGCTTGTATGCTTTTGTTTTATACATAGGAGGAAATGGACAACGAAAGTTAACACTTGTCCCTATGGACATGGAGGGCTATAATGGCCGGCAGCTGCGTGCAGCATCCAATAATGGGAGAAATGTCCTGTTCATTGTCCCTCTCCAACAGGAGTTGGACACTGAACCCCTCCCTTTCGATGCTGCAGAATTTTCGAAAATGCCGCAGGTACCGTGCCACATTTGTGGCACCACAATACCGCTACAGTTGTTGGCTTTACATGCAGACAGCTGCGAACCACCAACCAAAGTAAAAAAAAATTCTTAAACCTAACATTACTTGCATTTTTATTTAGATAATACACATATCTTTGCTGTTGCTCAACAGAAAATGACAGATGTGGTAATCCTTGAGGACAGTGACCCAAGTCATGCTTTAGAAGAGAAGGGAGTATGTGTAATTACTTCCTTTAATCCTAATATAAAAAGTGCTCTTCATTCTTTTCCAAATTAAATTTTGTGTTGGTTGTTTTTTCATACAGAAATAAGATGAAAACACATCAGATTTTATAATTAATAGATGTACTATTCTCCTTCCCGTAGTTTTGTCCTATCTGTCAAAAGGAATTTCTGATCTCAATGCTTGCTATTCATGCTAATATTTGTGCTGAAAGGTAAGTGCCATTTTAATGTCCTCAGTTGTTTTCATGTTACTTTTACTACAAATTTAAACTTAATATTATTTGATTAGGTTGATTTGAAGATTAATTATTTGTACTTCCATTGTATTTTGTTTATGTTTATCTGTCAGCACTTTCTGTGGTAGTGAAACAGTGCAGCCAGATATGGAGGTTCCTGGAACATCATCTGGGAATTTGCTTGAGACTCAAACCAACTTGTATTCAACTGCAAAACCAACGGGTAGAATACTTACAAGTATTAACATGTTATCCATTGCAACAGTACATTTATGGCATCTGTTTAGACCTGGGTAATAGTGATGGGATTTACGGCTCTTTACTGGGAGCCAAGTCTTTGGGATCTGTTCATTTCAAAAGAGCCGTTCAAAAGACTGGCTCAATTTAGAACAACAGTTTCATAACGCCATCCAGATAACTCACAATATCTAACGCCTCATTTACACCGAGTACGTTATGTCTCTAGTTTACACAGTGTCTGTACGACTTACATCCGTCATGTAGCCTTTTAATCACATGTAAATGAGTAATGTCATCTTTATTTTCTGAGTTTAACATGCAGTGTAGGAGCTTATATACATTTCCTAGATTATAACTTCATTTTTTAGGCAATGCTTAGTGTTAACGCGTTTACTGGATTGTCCGACCAATGGCATGGCACCTCTGAAGAGATGAGACGCGGGTCACAGACTAAACCGTTTCCAGGAGATGTTGTTGTTCTGGAGTGGTGTTACACCTATTGTTATGCCAGACGTATGTAAAACGGGCCGTGGACGTAACGTACACGGTGTAAATGAGGCGTAAGACGCTATCAATAAAATAAAATCTTGTGCCACAAAATCATAAGAGGCTGCAACTGTCTGACAAATCCTTTTTAGTGCACTTACATTTGACTTTAGTGCAAAAAGCGTTCATTTGTGTCGCCTGTTCCATTGAGGCGCATTGAGTTGCCTTGTGTACAAAATGTGCGGTATAAATAAAGTTGCCTTGTTAGGCTGATTCTTGTGTTCTGGGTAAAATAGACTGAAAAAATAGATCCGGCTCTTTTCACAATTGAGATCTGGTTTGAGCCGTTTGCCTCAAAGAGCCAGTTGATCATGAACGTCACATCAATACTGGGTAACAGGTAGAAATTCATTTTGATATTTGTTTATGGATTTCTGATTTGGAAAAAATATAAATGAATACATTTATTGTAGTTAATTCATTTATGTTTCACAACTAGAATGGAAGAAAGCAAAAGGTCCAGCAGAAGCCATACAGCTGTTTTGTAAGGACCTGAGGAAAGGAGGACAGGATCTAAGACCTTTGCTGCTGACCCTGGATGCTGAAGACGGTGAAGAGGGGCGCGACAGTGCTCTCATCTGTTTTTACAAAGACCGATATGATAAGCAACAATGGAGTGCACCCTTCAAATGTCGCATTTCAGGTACTGTTGTTGATAAGGAATTATTGTTAAATCACTGTATAACAAATTTTGTAATTGCAGGAGATGCAGCCGTTGGCGTTGGAGTAACAAGACACATATTGTCATCGGTTATTCACAAATTAAAGCATGGATTCAAGAAGAACTTAGGTTTGCTATCTTAATCAATTCAGTTGAGTTGATGTGTTAAAGGCACAGCCATTATTTTCATTTAATGTAGACATATTAGCGTAGGAATATGAACATTTTTGTACAATGTTTGTAGTAAACGCCTCAAAAGGATTACAATTGAGGACCATATTACCAGTATAGTTGTGTTTTTGTAGTTGACATTTTCTTAAGTTCTGCTTTAATCTTAATTTTGACATGGCTTTGTATAAGTTTGTACTTGTTTACACTTAGTCTGACCCTACTGTGGTCCTGGTAATGTCCTCTATTCATGGAAAATATATTGAGATTCACCATTTTTCTTTCACTGTTTAGGAAATGCCGCTCTCACAACATTGTTTGAAGGCGAAATGGACCACCGTGTTCCTACCCTCTCGGTAGCAATCCTCGAATGTGATCTTTTTAGCATGGCTGGGAGAATGATTGGCCATTCAGCCATTCACGGCGGCCCTCCATTTGCTGGACTTAGTGCAGCTGTGATTGATGCCTTGGTTTATGGGACCAGAGAGATTGCCACAACAAAGCTCTCTCTTGAGGACTGTGTAGATCTAGACCACCGACAAACAATTGGACTGGTACGTGAAATTTTAAATGAAGTTGATGCATTTCTCTTGTGCACCGTGTGCAAAATCCCACGAAAATTGTCACTAATGTTGGAAAAGTTTTAATGCAATTTGTAGTTTAGAAATTCTGCAATATATTTTTAGTACGTTTTTGTCACATGAACTTTTTTGTTTTCAGAAATGTTGATTTAAAACAAAAACTGTGTGGGAATTAAAGAATATTAAAGACTTTACACCTGTTTGATCATGTTCTCTATCATATTTAATAATTAAATCATGTTATATTCTGAAAGTAAATACACAAAAATGTGTGTCATACATATTAACGCATATTATTTAATTTCAGTTACTGAAGGATGATTTGAGCGATGAAGACTCGACAAGAATAAAAAACCTATGCATGGAGTGGTACCTTCCAGTACTAACTAAGGACACAAACAAAGTTTTACTTTTCCAACAGCTGCTCTGTCATGCTGTGAGTGCCTGTGTCTCAAATTAAGAATGTTTCTACACAATACTTAACATAATTTGTCATAGGTTCTTGGCAGAGCTAACGAGCAAATCAAACAACTCAGAAAGGGGTTGAAGGAAACAGGCATTTGGCCTCTCCTTGTTTGTCGACCGGATACTATACCTCTACTGTTTCCTCGAGAGCAAGAAGTGACCATCACTTCCAAAGTAAGAAAAACAATACAATGAATAATTAAAATACAAAAAAAATCATAGGAAATTTCAGTGATAATTTTTTTTTTTAATCAATATAAGAATCCAAATATTTAAAGGACACATTATGCAAAGCTATTACACTGTTCCATCAACCTTGTTTATCTCATGTTGTATCTCCTTTTGAGGATGAAAAAAATTTCACAAAAAAGCCCTGTATTTATGCAATTCACATTGATGTGTGTGTGTATATATATATTTAGAGATAGAGATGTTCTTTAAGTTTGATAATACCTATATTCACAGGCGATTCTTGAAAGTATCAAATGGCCCTATTCTGAAAAAAGGGACGACAGTGACAGTGACAGCGACAATGATGTGCCTGTTGAAACAGTCAGTGTTACCACAGGTTTCTTGAGAACCTTTATTGAACAAGGTATTGGTGTGTAATTGTACATAACACATCTTTTACACATTTTTTCAAACTCTATGTCCTCTATTTGTTTAGCATCTTCAGACCACCTGCGCCAGCTGCTGAAATTCTGGATCGGGTGGGAGGTGCCTGTAGGAAGATTAAAACTACAAGTTGTAAAATCAAGAGGGATGAACCATCTCCCAACCTCAAGCACTTGTTTCGAACGCCTTCGAATTCCGAACCATTATAAAACTTACCAGGCTTTTAAAGCTGATATCATGGCTTGTTTGGAATCTGTGGAAAGTGGTTTTGGGCTTGTGTAGGTTTTTTTTTTTTTTTTGGACTAAACTTTGGATTTACTATTTTAGTTAATAAGTTTGGGTTTATTATAACCGATTCCTTTTTGTAATCTTTTTATTTTTTCACCTTGATGTTAATGTTCTACGCTATAAAACGTTATTATTATTGGGAATAAGAGTTTGCCCACAATAGTTCATACTATTAGGTCTGAGAATAGGTTCTGTTCATATGGCATCACAACATTTTACAGGCCTAAAATATTTAGTACAGTTATATGAAATATTGTTTAAATCCACTTTATTTTAAATTATACAAAACGTTAATGAGTCTAGTGACTAATAGCTTATCATTGGCAAAAACTATCTGAAAAAGTATACAAAAGAGATGTGGAATGATGCGATTGAAAGCACTGGGTCACTCCATAGTGTCGGAATACGTTTTAATTGATTCTAAATGTTGCATTTAACATCTGGAAATCTCCATAGGGATTTTCTGACGTTAAATGCTAAACATTGCATTTATTAAAACATATTCCGACACTGTGGAGTGACAGATGTTACCACTATAGTGACCCAGTACAATGTCATGTCGTTCCACAGCTCTTTTGTTTACTTTTCGAGATAATTTTTGCTGATGTTTCTCTATGGAAGCAGGGCACGTCTTGCCACACAGCATTCTATGTGATGTCACAATCCCAAGCTCTATAGGTTTGGTTTACGTTCTATAATGTGATGTCATAAGTCCAACAGAGTGGTGCAATAGAGTTCTTCCTATTAACATTATACTTTTCAAAAAATATATATCCAGTTCATTTCACACATTTAAAATCTGGTGTATTTGTAGTGACTAGACTCATTAACCTTGTGCATTACAATTATAACATGCATTTAAACAATGTTCATTTTAGCTCCCCACCATATGCCATATCCCCACCAAGCCACATTGGCTTGTAGAATGTTGGGATGTTGCGTGAACAGAACCTATTGCTGGTTTTCAGATTCTAGAATGTGATGATTCCATGAGGCAACATTGAGGGTCAGTGCCAGATTTCCTATCATTTACAATGTAATTCATAATTAAATATCCAAAAGGTAAATTAACCTATGCTGAATCTGATCATCTATGGTTGACTAGACCATCGAAGTCAATGTATTGCAGCCAAAATTTTCATTTCCACGATATTAAATTTACCTTTGTTTCAAGTTTTCTGGAAACCTGTACACTGGCCTGTGGATTGGTGTAAAGATTTAGCCTTATACCATTGTGTTCTAAAAGTTAACATGCAATGTTTAACTGTTTTATAATTAAAAGCATTTGAATATTTTATCCTCCCCTCTTTTTCTTCTTTACAATTAAAGAAACATAACATTGTATAATTTTACACTCACCGATAGTCAAGTGAAGTACCAACATTAAAAGTATATATTCACTGACTGGTTCTATTTTGAAATAGCTGGTACATAAGTGCTTATATAGTGATATCTAGTTATACACATCTCTAAAATATCAGGGGAAAAGTTCGATATTTCTTGTCACTCAATTCAGAACTTTAAACCAGTATATAATGTAAACTCAAAGTGTAATATTCCCATTATTGCATACAGATAATCTAAAAATGTGATCTAAAAAAATATTAGATCACTACATAATAACCTACTAATAAAAACAATAATGGAGTTTCAAAATAACTTCGTTTTTAGACAACTGTACTTTTATTTTTGTCACCTCTGCTAATTTTCTAATCCTCAAGCATATTAGTTACATATTGGAGTGTTGCCGAATATACATCCACACCATTTGACTCTGATGGCTGCAGAGGGTCGATGTGGACAGACAATGTGCTCAGCTGCTGCGCAGTAAGTGGGCTCTCCAGGTCTGGTACTTGGACCCCAACATTTTCCTCAGGGACCTCCCCACTCTCGTCCCAATCAATGTCAGGAATGTTTAAGTCCTTGAGTTGATAAGTGAGCAAAATCAATTTTAGTATTTTAAATTTACAAAATATTTGCTAATACAAACACTAAATCATTCAAAATACCATTGGATTTGGAATGTGGTGATGGATCTGCCCAGCCAACCACAACTGGTTAGGGGTCATGTTTTGCTCCGTTCTTAAAGGGTGATTGTCCCATCCTTTATGGAACACATCAAGGCTTGCCTGGAGACGTGGCAGGAACACATAATGGAGGCAGAAGAGATGAGTGGCATCACTTAGATCAAAGAGGCCTTCTTCTTCCATCATGTGAAAAGTGTGGTAGAACACACTGGTGACCCCCATCCAAACATCGCGCCAAAGGCGCTCTATCCTGTTGGAAAAAACATTTGAAATTTAAGTCTTAAGAAACTGCTTACTGTTCATAATATTTCCCTTATTTCAAAATTCTCCATTTTACCTCTGATTATGAACACTTTTTCCTGCATAAAAGCAACCACTGTCTGGGCCCCAAACACTGAACATTAAGCGAGCAACATCTACATTCTCTCCTCCTTGATCAGCACGTACTCTAAAGGAGAAACAGATGATTAAAGAAAATAAATAGAATGATTTTTGGCTATTATACAACTTTAAATTGCATAATAGCCAAAAGTGAAACAATCATTAAAATAGTGTGAATCGTGGATTGCACAAAGAAAAGATTTATCTGCTCACCAAAATGTGACATGTTTTACCTTAGTGGATAGCCAAATTCTTCAACAGCCTCAGTGAAAAAAGCCAGCGTTGTGGCTGCACGGTTATTGTTTGCAACATTAAGATACATTATCTGCAAGTGAAAAATATATTGCATAACAAAACAATAGTGTACACTATGTAAAGTTTCAGGAATATCACACAACCTCTTAAGCCCCACCTGAACAGAGCACATTTTCTCCAGTTGGGCTTTTCCCAAATCTAAAATCTTCTTGAAAAACGCATCACGAAAACAAGGACAACAATGCGGCAACAAAGTTACAATCACTTTTGTAGGGCTTAGCTTTCAAATTAGGCATTACACTGTTGCACTCCAGTCCATAAAAACTTTTAGATTTGAGTAATACCGAACCGGAGAAAATGCACTCGGTTACAGCGGGGGCTAAGAGGTTAAGATAAGTAATGTGTCTCTGACCTTACGTGAGAAGCCATCAATGGCACCAAATATAACAAAGTTGAACCTGAGGGACAATACAGTTGTAATTACAAGTAATTGCATTTAGCATCAAAGAATGTTACTATACAATTTGTTACATACATATAATTACTCCTACATCTTGGCTTATCACTTTGTATTTTTACAGTAGTTACATTGCAATGTCACACTTAAATGATTTAAATCTTTGCTACTCTATACACTTCTGGTAATATATTAAGCTCATCAGTGCACTCGCTCTGCACTGATGACATGACTAATGTATACAGTATATTTCTTACTGTGCGTTTACACTTTAAAAAACGTTTACCATTATATTTTCCTCTTTTAAGCTAATTCATTACTTTATTATCGTATTGCACCAGATTACCAAAGCAGATTACCTAGTTTGTGATTTTTTTCCTGTCACGGACACTGGCAATAAAACAATCAGATTCTGGTGACCAATTGATGTAGTTTACCTAATAAGCTTATGGTTGGTGTCAATATGAACCAAATACTTTGGGCAAGGCACCGAATAGGTTCTTCTCACAACACATCCAAGTTGAGTCATCCGTGACAGTATTCCAATGCTATCAATTCGATGCATGGATGCTCTCACTCTGTTCCACTGCACTCTATGACCTTGTGCCTCCAATGTCCCCTTCACAAGTCGATACCCTGCATGTGGCATTGTTTGCTTGATTTGAGAGACGAGTCCATCAAGATCCTCATCTGTACACCGACTGTACATTCCTCTAACAGAGACGTTGTACTCTTCCATTCTTCTGTAGAGTGTAGACCGAGATATTGCCAATAGCTCTGCCACAGTCGTCCCTGATAGTCCAGATTCCAAAAGATATGCCAGACTTCGTTGGATATGAATATTCTTCGGCGCCCAGACCCTTGTACCGGTTCAAACTGAACCGGTACAAGGGCTGTTTGCCTTTCTTCATTTAAAGAATGCAATTCCCCAATTAGTTGCATCAATTTGCGGGTAACCTCCAGTGGAACAGGGATGTGCTGGGTGACAATATCTAGAAAAACAATTTCTTGATTGCATACAAATTCTACATAATCTGGATCAAGGGGCTGTCTCTGGAGAGCATCAGATAGCTTGTTGTATAGCCTGTCCATGACATGTTGTTTGAGTAAATTCTAGAAAAACAGAAGGAAAATCAGGTTATTATTATTAAGATTAACAACACCAGAGCATATTTCACAGCAAAGCACAAGAAAAACTGTCTCTTAACCAACATCTGGCCTATTATGTATTGGTCAATCATTATTACACTATAGTCTCAGAATACTATCTTAAATATGAATTGTGTAACATTTTACTTACTAAGTTAGGTAAAGTTAGCACCATATTCAGATTTGTGCTTCCGAAGTCAATAGCTCTTGAAAGCAATTTGAACAAAAGTAATAGCACCAACTGCAGAGAGACCAGAGAGAGAGACCAGAGAGAGAGACCAAAGAGAGAGAGGCCAGAGAGAGAGAAAGACCAGAAAGAGACGCCAGAGAGAGAGCCCAGAGAGAGAGAAAGACCAGAAAGAGACGCCAGAGAGAGACCGACCAAAGAAAGACTAAAGAGAGACCAGAGACAGACCAGAGACAGACCAGAGAGATGCCAGAGAGATGCCAGAGCGACGCCAGAGCGACGCCAGAGAGACCCCAGAGAGACTAGAAACAGACCAGAGACAGGCCAGAGAGAGACAAGAGAGAGAGAGAGAGACCAGACCATTATAACACCTTTAATCTGAAATGACAGAGTAATTCCTCGTCAATTCCGTGTGGAGTGTGAGATGATTTGATATCTACCTCTTCTTTGTGTCCCTGCCATGGACCAGCAGAGGAACTATGTAGCACACGTGTGTAGGAGGACAGGTAGGGGCTGGATCTGCGTCTGCATGGGACTGCACTCCAACCTGCAGAGATCAAACACAATGATCTGACACTGGGATTGCATTTGTAGCATGTGCTCTGGGAATGTGGTGCATCTGAAGCAGCTTCATGAAGGAAATGGTGATTTGTTGTTGCGTGGTTTTATTCGCTGGGTTGAATATAGTTTGTTACACTGTATCACTTTCCGGAGCTCGTTTGGTTTCGATGGATGAAAATCATTCAATAGTTTATTGTGTGTTCGACCAATGAGGAGCTGCATCGTCAACAGCATCAGCATGAGAGGCATGTGACCTTCTGAACGCAACAAGGGGTTTATAAAACACTGACACACATATACACACATCAAATTCAGATTTTAAAAAGTCCCCAGTGTACACAAAAGGTTAAAAGTAAAGGAATAAAACTTTTTTTTTTAAGTGCAGGAAACAATATACACAAACACACAGATTTCTCAACAGTGGAATGAATAAAGGATCTTGTATCTTAAACACACACATATATAAATAGACATGTAAATTAGAAGAAAATGTTTAAGGTAAACTTAGAGGAGATGAAGTTTAGACGAGCAGGTCTCAGTTGGCAAACGCTTGGAGTAACAGATCAGTGGGAGTGCGATCCAAAGCAAGAAGATAGACACTGGAACGCCCACTGAAGGAGAAAGAGGAGTATTCTTGATCTGTCAGGCAGTTTTCTTGGTCCATCTGCCTGATGGACCAAGAAAACTGGAAAAGAATAGTTGGAAAAAGTTAAACTGAACTTGATAATTACTAAGGAAGAACTTAAAGGTATAGAAGACAATTCTCATAAATTTTAGAAATGAACCGCGCACTCTTTGACGCCTCCTCAAGCGTCAAAGAGTGGAGAGACCTCCGCATGTTCCATGTGCACGCTCTGTTTACAACAGCTCTATGTCCGCATCGCTCACTTTCAGCGCTCAGTGACATGTGTCTTTGGTAAGTACTGTTTTATTCTTTACCATTGAATTATGAGCACAAATGTTACAGACATGAGGCCGTTAGATCTGCCACAGACGTTTGTTTATAACTGCCGAGTCTATTCAGAAAATACACAACTTATGTTGTGTTTAATCTTTAGGGAGAAAACAAAACCACAGATTAAATATTAAAGCTACAGAGAGGAATCAGACTTATAGATTAATAATTGAGTATATTTTGTAAATCTCATACTACGAGCCTCCTGTTAAAGACTGAGAATGTGAAACTGAGACTGAAACTGTATATGTGAAATGTGAATTTACTTCTGCTCCTCTTCATATTTATTTATTTTGACTGGGACAGTACATGTCAATGAACAAATGGTTGAACATACACAATATGTTGACACGTCTGATTGTAGCAAAAGACTAATTTTCATCTGTAGTCCCAAGAGGACGGGGTATGCTTTATTTCATGATTTGTTTCTTTTCCAGAGATGATCATTTCCAAAGGCCATCTCCATAACCTCCAGCTTCTTTGGATAACATTACAAACTACAACAGACAAGGACCAACATTTTCATTTATTTATTAATGACAAGGCGTCTTGCATGTTCTCAAGACATACTGTATATGCAGTAGAAGCAGCAGCAGCAGCAGCAGTAGCACCAGCAGCAGCAGCAGCAGCAGCAGCAGTAGCACCAGCAGCAGCAGCAGCAGCAGTAGCACCAGCAGCAGCAGTAGCAGCGGCCAGGACGTCTGCCTCTGACACAGCTGTCTTTTCTACAGTGTGCACATCACAACCTGAAAATAAATAAAATAATCATGATTTAGTTCTTTGTGTGTCATGATAAATGATGCGTTTGTTTTATCCACAGAATCAGTGGGAAAATGTTTCATAATAGCCTTTATTTAAGCACTTATACTTCTAATTGAATACATTTAAGCCATTAACTCTGACATAATTAGTAACAGAATGTTTGATTTCAAGAGAAAAGGAGCTTGTGCTCAAAAATTAAGTACTGATTACCTGAAATCTGGTCCACAAGATCACATCCATTGATCTTCTGTGTCCAGCTCCATGTTCACAGATGTCCCCCTGTCATCAGTAAATGCACGTTATCACATTTAGGCCTAATACAAGTTACTTTACTACAAAGTGATGCACAAACGAGGGCCATAGCAAATATTAATCGCAGCATTACCCACATGCATTATTTACATGAAATATGACATTTTTAAAACTAATGATTACTCTACATACAATTTGTTATAACAGAGAACATCTGTTACAAAAGCTTTCTCTTTGAGTTTTCATAATTACTTCCACAATTAATTTGAAGGACCAGTTATTTAGGTGATCCACCTAAAAAATAACAAAATATATACCTTAGGTATACCGCTTCAAGTATACCTTTAAGAATGTAGAAAACAGAAGATGGAAAGAAGAGCTGGAGAGAGAACTTTACCTTTAAACATTGATAATGACAAGCAATCCAAAAGAAGCCATCCACCTGTGAAATACAAACACAAACTGATGTCTCGATGCAGCAGGTGGACTCTGCGTCGTTAGAAATGGAAAACATACAAGAACATGGCTGTAAGTAAGAATTTAAGATGGCTAAACAGAATAATAAACTAGTGGAGTATATTTGACTGTTTTTAGGACGTCCAAAGCAACATCATCAGAGAGACGGAGGAGAAGGACTCTCAGCCTGGGAACATACAGACTAGAACAGTTCGGTTGTTAGTAGCTCCAAGTTTTGGGGAGGAGAGTCCAACTTCTTCTTCTCTGCTGCACAGATTTTTTTTGGAACCAGTCTGATAATGTACAGCTTTAACACCAGCGTAACTTCTTCACAGCAGCTGTCCTCTCACTTTAACATCTCTGGTCTCTCCCCGATCTCTCTATGGTCTTTCTCAGCTTCATGACTTGATAAATAGATGAGACAGTGTTGGCTTAGAGCAAGAGTGAAGTTGACGCGCAAATCCAAATCTGAGTAGCATGCAAAAAGTTGAAAATAGTAAAATAAAACAATGGAGATTACTCTGCACAGCAAGAGATTTTAATTTGCACCACAAGATGTGACGTTTTGGGTGAAACTACCCTTCCTCAGACATGACTGTCTGAGGAAGGGTAGTTTCACCCAAAACGTCACATTAAAATCTCTTGGGAGATAATGCTGTGCAGAGTCATCTCCATTTTTATAGTTGGCTAAGAACACTCTGGATTTTCTTTCTCACACGTCTGGGAGTCCTCTGATCAGGTTTAAACAGATCCCACAATTGGCAATTAGAAACTGAGAACTGAGACCACTGCTTGTGTACATTCTTGGTTTTCATACTTCAGGTTTCTGTTCCTGAACTTGTTCTGGTCTGAACCAGGACTGATTTTGGACAGGTTCTAGGGATAGGGTCAGGGCCGATATTTCAGGTTTTTTGACTGATCCAAGATGGGCTAAACTGCCCAAATACATAGGTACAATAAAGTAGTACTTTTTAACCCTTTTGTATTGGATTTATTTAAACAGACCTGTTTTCAAAAGCATCCTGGTCAATATGCAACACAGTATTAAAATATCAACATACATTGACAGTAAGAGTTAATGTCCATGACATAGATTTACAATCAGTTAAAAACACTGGAGTCAGTTACTCTATCCATGATGGAGTCTCCGCAGAGGAACCTTATGAAGAGGTGTCTGATCTTGTTCTTTCTTCAGAACATAATGCAGTAAAACACAATTGTAGGCTTCATAAAATGTAATGTTATAATATTGTGGTTAGACCTTCCTTTCCTCCATGACTTCTTTTTGCTGGAGACAGATATCTGATTGACCTGGTTGGTCCCTGTTTGCAGGTGGAGATTGTGGGTCCTGTGACGGGGCAGATGGGTGATCTGGTGGGAGCGATGGTGGAGACTGTGGGAGAGGAGCCAGAGTCTGAAGGATTCACAGAACTGCAAGAAGAGGAGGAGCTGACCAGGGTACTGAAACACACACACACATATACAAACACACACAAATGTGCATATGCAAACACACACATATACACACAAGCACACACATACTGGAAACCAGAGAGACCAGATATAGACCACAGAGAGAGGCCAGGCAGAGCCCATAAGGAGACCAGAGAAAGGTCAGATAGAGAGACCAGAGAACGGCCAGAGAGAGATAACAGTGGGAGAGACCACTGTATATTAATAGGTTAGGAAAGCTCCTTGTGTTTAATTTTTGGTAGGTTAAATAAAATTATTTCAGCTTTGTCATGTCACACTTTTGTCATAGATAAAACAGAAGCATTAACATCATATGACTGGACGGTGAATCCCAGTTTGTTCTGAACCTTGTCTAAACCCCATTGTTCTATGTCTTGGTGCTCTCTGTGGAGGGGCAGGGCATCTGCGGGGACAGATGGCTGAAGGATGGACTCAACACATTTACATATTTATGCAAATGTAGACCAACTTTGGAAAGAGCCCAAAAAAATAGCTTAACATGTAACAAAGCTGTAACATGTTAGAGCTGTTAAAGATGAGAAAAGCCGTCAAACATTTGGTTTTAAAAACATACATCAAGCCGTTTCCACCAGCTCTACCCTACTCTACTCTTGCCTACCCTACTTAATCACACCTGATTGTCCTTCTTTAGTCCCTCTTGGCTGGGTTTGAAACTTTGCAGGCGCTGCACTGTGGCACCTGCTGTTTACAGTGGTCTCCCATCACAGTACTAACCAGGCCCTGCCCTGCTTAGCTTCAGGGGTCTTAATGCAGTTCATTAAACTCATTCTCTAACAGCTGCAACACAATGTAAAAGAGTAAAAAACAACCACTCATCTCCTGATTCTGCTGAGTCACAGGGCGTTTTTTAATTATTCTAGAAGCCAAACATTCTGTGAACAAAACAGTGAGACAAATCTGTCACGACACATCATAAATAGCCATTAAAATATCAAAGGCTGCAGCAGAGAACTAGACTTCTACTCTACCCTACTTTACCATACACGCCATAACTATTGTATATGTTTTTAGTGGTAGGGGAAACATATGCAGGCACGGGGAGAACATACAAACTCCACTCAGAAAGACCCTGTTCTGACCGGGATTCACACCCAGGACCTTCTTGCTGAGAAGTGAGAGTGCTATCCACTCAGCCACCATGCCGCCTTCTTTTCTCTTTGGTCTCTCTCATTATGTCTCTCTGCGTTTCTCAGGTCGAGGAGGTGACTTTGACGTTGGAACCAGAGCCCTGTTCCTTGACGCCGTCTCCGCTGAGGGAAGACGCACCTTCAACACGCGGACCCAGCCCAGGACTGTCCAATCAGAGCGCAGACACGGGAGGGACTATCCAATCAGAGCGCTCGCCTTTTGAACCTGTGCCCTGTGTCGTCCAGTCACTGGAGGAGAAGAAGGAGGAGGAGGCGGGAGATGCCTCCTTTGTGATGGTTGTGACTAACTAAAAATGTGAGAATAATCCTTGAACCTGTTCTAATACGACTGGACGCTCTTGAATAATGAACTTTTGGAGCGAGTTTTGGATTGTTCCGCAGAAGGATTCACGTTGGACTCAATGGGAATACTGGGAATACTGTGCAAATACTACTGCTGCAAACGAGGATGAACAAAACCCGACGGGCTACGAACCACAGACACAAATGCTGGTGGATTCTATAGTTATAATGAAATTCAGTGCAATACAACTCGCAAACCATGTGTACACAGTAAAACAGCTTCTGTGAGTGGGCAGACAGCAGGGAGTGAGAGATTTCAGATTATTTAAAGCTGGGGTACCTGACTTTCTACCATAAATAAACCATTTTGTCTTGTACAATTAAAATGTTGAATAAAGCAGCCCACAATAAGCTGTCAGTATCTTTTGCATACTATTTGGTGGCTGAGTGGTTAGCCCTCTTGCTTCATAGATCCTAGGTTTGAGTTCACATCCAGACATGGCTTTTCTCACTGCAATTTGCCTGTTCTCCCTGTGAAGAGAAGTTTACTTTGGGTCCTCTGTTTTCACATAAAAGTAAAAGCATGTACAATAGCTCCACTCTCTCCCAAAAAAGACATTACTGGTTAAATAAAGAATTGTATTTAATTTAAAAAAAAATTAAATACAGAACGACCGCTGAAAAGTAACTATTTTGACTATTTAGCTGAAACTTGGGACAACCCGGAGGTAAGGGTTTTTTCTGACTTGTCTGTCAGAAAAAAAGCTGATCCAGAGGCCACAACTACATAATGTGAAAACTAGTGATAGTACTTCTCTGGTGTCTCTCTTTTGTATCTCTCTCTGGTCACTCTCGTTCTCACTGTTCGGTCTGAAAAAGCTGATCCAAAGCTGAGACCATCATGGTTTGAAAGTTAGGTACCCCAGCTTTAAGCAGTGTTCACACTTATTGACCAGGACACGCTTGTTTGGTGTTTTCATGAATATGTAGAGATTTATCAAAGAATTTCTCCATCTGGGATAATGGTTTCAAAATGATATGTGATGGAAGTGGATCGCTTTGTTCTCTCCATGGTTTCTCTCTGGTCTCACTCAGTCTCTCTCTGGGATCTCTGTTCTCTCTATGGTATGTCTCTGGTCTCACTCAGTCTCTCTCTGGGATCTCTGTTCTCTCTATAGTTTCTCTCTGGGCTCTCTGTTCTCTCTATGGTTTACCTCTGGTCTTACTCTAGTCTCTGCCTCTGGGCTCTCTGTTCTCTCTATGGTTTACCTCTGGTCTTACTCTAGTCTCTGCCTCTGGGCTCACTGTTCTCTCTCTGGTCTTTCTCTCTTTGAGGAATCAGTAAAAGGTGAAAAAGAAGCCAACACATGAGCCAAATATACAGTTTTGAATGTAAGCATAGAGCTGCAGATGTGAAGCTTGGATTTCCTAATTGTGATGGTGATCTGGGAGAAGGTGTTCAAGCCGCGCTGACAAAATGGCAATATGTGAAGATTCAACAGTAATGCCATATTTTGGCCACAATTTAAAATGAATTTGATGCAGTAAGTGATATAGTGCGATTAATGGTCCTCATATTACTCAAGACATAACAAACATGGAGGAAAAAAGACTTTCCTCATTTATCAATGTCTGCACATGAACTGAAGCAAACTGGGAGGTAGTGGAAAGACGTTAACCTTGAACATTCAGGACACAGGACCTTATTCCAGACAAGACATTATTATTCTAGAGTCACAAAAAGCCGACGTCATAGTCACAAAAAGCAGACAACATAGAGTCACAACAAGCAGACATCATAGAGTCTCAACAAGCAGACATCATAGAGAAACATAAACCTCAGATGGAAACAGAGGAAACTCTACTGTATCAATTTAATTGTGCACAAAATATGGTAACATTGAACAAAATGTGAACGCAGTGAATGTTTCTGTTGTTGAAGCTCTCTCTGCTGCTCACAGTTCCACTTCTCTCTGGAGCAAAATAACATGCATGACTCCTCACAGTATAACACAATATACACAATAACACCTTTTATAATAAAACATCTGGAACATGTACCTGTTTGGATGTAGGACGACTGTGTTCTGTTGGAGCGACTGTTGCTGTTTGTTTCTGAAATATATTCTGGAAAAACACTTCTCTGTTCTGTGTTTAGGCTGAATGACACTGGTTTCAGTTCTTAGACTCGTGTCTAAGAACTGTTCATCAATCAAGATGACATCACATTTACGTCCCCTACAGTCACCCATACACACTCTCTCCTCTCTCCTCTTGACATACAAAGAAACTCCTCTAGCTCAGAAACTGTCTGTGCCACACACCATTTTCCTGGTCTGGAGTCAGAACTTCTGATTGGACGCAGTATGAGACATGAGCATTTAAAAGAAGTGGCAGAGCTTCACTTTTGAGCCAAAAGTTTCTGATATTAGCGTGGATGGATCAAAACATAACTCCAGATCTGTGAACTATGTTTATGATACATCTTCTTTAACACAATGACTTCACAGAGCACATATAAGACAATTATATCCATTATAACTCGAGAATGACTGCGCCTAGTTTTGGAAGTTTAATTACTGCTTATGTGCACGTGTCTCAGGTATCTTTTTTTAAGTAGTAGTAAACATCTAAGATTGAAATGTAGACAAAAAACTAGTTTTTACATGTGGGGAGTTTCGCAGAATTCCATTGATTTGAATGGGAGCCATCAAAATGATTGCTCTGGGTCTTAAGTACAGTCTATGAGGAGGAGCTGTAGACACTTTTGTGCTGCTCTGTGGCAAACCTCAGACTTCAGTTTCTGTGTAGTTTGGAGCACCACTGTGTGAAAACATGGCGCTCATTCATTCATGCTGTCTGAAAGGTCCTCAGTGCAGAGAAGAGCTCTGTACAAACTCCACACAGTTCTGTCTGCGTCAGGTTTAACTCTTGTGCTTTCTTTGGGTCAGTGATTCAAAGATGTTTTTTTTCTGAGCTGATGATTTACCAGCCCGGGGTCATTTAGATCCTTTTTATTGTATTATTCTTCTTTTATCTAGACCCGAGGATAGCACAAGGGTTAAGAAAAAGTTTTCTCCTGTAACAGTATGCTGTCATTATACCACTATGACACCATCCAGAGAGAACAGCAACAGAGACAAGAGAGAGACCTGAGAGAGACTGGAGAGAAACAAGAGACCAGTGACAGACCAGAGACATGACAGACCAGAAAGACTATAATTATTACATTCACAATAGTGTGAAGATTAGCGATCTCAACGCTTCTCAAAGACATGGATAGAGATCTATTTCATCTTTATAATATGTATCCAACCAACTCCAAACACAATCAGACAAACATGACTTTATTCAGCCGTTCACAGTTGATAATTATATGATTTTCAAAATAATACAAAACATGATTGAAAGCAACGGCATCAATTTGCTCCATGACTTTAGTGGTGAAAGATCAATGTTTCAGAGTCGGTTCAGCAGATGTTAAAAAGATGGGACTCACTTAAACCTTGGTATCTCGTCCCAAACCGAAAGAAATTGCCAAATTGTGATTAATGGTCACAATAGGAACCATTCCTTGGGTTAAAGTTAGGGTCAGGTGCAGGGCCAATTACAAAAATTATAGTTCAAATTCCATTTTTAGTGCTGACATTTGATTTGGTATTTGTGGGTTTTATGATGATTAAACTCTAGAACAAAACACACAGTAATTAGCATTTGGAAACAAGTTATTTTGTTGTTTTGTATTTGGGAACTTCATTGGAATCTCCAACGCTCAAAACACATCGATCTTTATCATCGCTTTGGATAATTTACTGTATAATTTTGAGATGGTTTCACCAGAGAAAGACCAGAGAGAGCAGTGAGAGAGACCAGAGACCATAGAGAGAGAACAGCAAGAGACCAAGAAGAAACCAGAGAGAGACTAGAGAGAGACCAGAGGGAGATTAGAGAGAGACCAGAGAGAGATCAGAGAGACTAGAGAGACCAGAGAGGGAGAGACCAGTGTAAGACTAGAGAGACGAGAGAGAGCTCAAGAAAAAACCAGAGAGATAGACCAGAGAAAGACCAGAGACAAGAGAGACCAGAAAGAAAAGTATAATTCAAAGTCCTATAAATGTTGTCAAACAATTGTCTAGCATTCTGCTTGTGTAAACATGTGAGTAATTATTCTTTTTTCTTTCACAATATGAAAACAAAACGTTTTTTCTTATAATAAATATAAAATCACTATAAAAAAACAGGGGATCGTGGAGTCAGACTGGTGTCATGTCGTCGTCGCTCTCCCCCTCCTCCCTCACAAACAGTCTCTGCAGCGATCGAGGAGCAGGGGAAGGAGGGGAGGAGGAGGCAGAGGAGGAGATGAAGAGAACAGGAGGAGAGAGAGAGGGAAGAGTGTGGAGAGGGCCACTGTTATTACTACTATTACTACTTTCACTGAAACTTCTATTGCTGCTGCAGTCCACTTGTCCAGACTCGATCCACACCTCGGCTTCGTTCTCTGAGCTAGGGGGAGGCAGAGGGGGGGAGGGCGGGGGTTGTAGCGGGGGAGGAGGAGGATGGGACAGGGAGGTGGGGGCAGTGAGGGAAGTGGGGGAGTGGGGGGTGGAGGAGGAGGTGGAGCCCGCGTGAGATTTGGGGCCAGATTTGTGGCTCACATCTCGGAAACTAGCGAGAGGCGGACGGAGGCGGACCCCAGAGCGAGTGGAGCCTTCAATGGCCTTCTGCAGCTGTGGGGGAAGGGGGGGGGGGGTGAGGGTGATGGAGGGGAGTAAGGGTGATGGTGATGAAGGGAGTGAGGGGGAGTAAGGGTGAGGGGGGAAGAGAGGAGAGAAGAGTCAAAGAACAGCGGGAAAGTGTAATCAAAGTTCAAAGGTGCTAACATGTTAAATAAGAGATAGGATAAACTTTATTGATCTCACACTGGAGAAAGTTGTCACATTTGGCATAGGCAGAATAACTCAGATTGTGAAAAAAGTGTATTTTTAACATGTTAAGGTTAAAAATATAGTCTGTGCAGGATAAAATTATGTACAATAAAAAGTGGCAATAAAAGAAAGAGTAGCAATAGCAGTGCAGGTTTGTTTCAGTCCCAGTGCAATAGTGACGTAAAGTGACTTCTTACAGGCTGCATTGCTGAGACATGAGTCATGACTTCAATCATGTCTCTGCTGTTTCTCAACATTTACTTTGACAACAGACAATCAACGTTAGTCCGTTTTTTACTTGTTTATCTCTGCGCTTTTTATTTCATTAGATAAGAACACACACACCAATTTTGAGATAGTTTTGAAACGAGAGAGACAGAGCCCAGAGAGGGACCGACCAGAGAGAAACCAGAGAGAGACCAGGGAGACCACGCAAAAATGTAATATGATTTCCAACTGTATACCCTTTGGGCAATTTGGCTTTCCACTAATATTGTCCTGCATATTCCTTATATTTATTTTCAGCTGATTTAAGTTGTCCTCTGTCTTGTATTTTCTGAGCTCCACCTTTTGTTGTTTCATATATTTCTGGAAAAGCTCTGGGCAGAAATGGTAAATATTCAGATATTTAAATCTGCGGCTTGTCTTCTGAGCTGCACCTGAGGACGCCTTGGCTCAGAGATGGACCACTGTGCTGATTGTTGTGATTGTTATGATAGTACTTACTGGACTATAATAAGGATCAAAATAATTTGAATTTCTCAGTTCAGAATGAAAGTTCTCACAACTATTAGTTCAACCTCCACAACATTGATTCATTTGTGCACATGTCCTTTTAACAAATGTCAAATGCTTTTGGACATGTATCAGTTACTTCCTAACATCCCTATAAGACTAATAGTCTGCATTTCATCATTACATTCAAAATTGTTGACTATAGTTAATAATGCTGTTTGTTTTATATAGCGCTTTTTTGGACACTCAAAGACGCTTCACATGTCATTATTCATTCACTCCATACACAGTGGTGATAAACTACTACTGTAGCCACAGCTGCCCTGGGGCACACTGACAGTAGCAAGTTTTTTACAGTTAGTGCATTTCTCAGAACAATTAGTACAAACTGCAAAACCTCGTAGAAAACCTACAAAAGTGGGTCCGCTTGCTCAAAATGAAAAGTTAATTCCTCAAAAGCAAGTATTGGTAATAGGTAACTGAGTACAAGACACATACAGTGCCTTGCGAAAGTATTCTCTAGGCACTTTCAACATTTCGCCACATTTCAGGCTTCAAACATCCATCCATCCATTTTCTTCCCCTTAATCCATTTCTGGGTCGGGTGGCAGTCAGAGCTGCACCCAGTCACAGGGCACCAGCCCCTCACTGATCCTCCTGCAGGTGGTGAGTCCACAGGAGCTGAGATCTTTCAGTGGGGGCTTCAGGCAAAGTCGGGTTAAGTGTCTTGCCCAAGGACACAACGACAGCAGTCATCAGTGGGAGTCGTGAAGTAGGTCTTGCGGTGGGCTTGAACCCACGACCTTCAGGCTCAAAGGCCAATGCTCTACCAACTGAGCTACTGTTGCCCCGGCTTCAAACAAAAATATATAAAATTTAAATTTGTTTAAACAAGTGGGACACAATCGTGAAGTGGAACAAAATTTATTGGATAATTTAAACTTTTTTAACAAATAAAAAACTGAAAAGTGGGGCGTGCAATATTATTCGGCCCCTTTACTTTCAGTGCAGCAAACTCAGTCCAGAAGTTCAGTGAGGATCTTTGAATGATCCAATGTTGTCCTAAATGACTGATGATGATAAATAGAATGCACCTGTGTGTAATCAAGTCTCCGTATAAATGCACCTGCTCTTTGATAGTCTCAGGGTTCTGTTTAAAGCGCAGAGAGAACCATGTAGAAGGAACACACCAGGCAGGTCCGAGATACTGTTGTGGAGAAGTTTAAAGCCGGATTTGGATACAAACAGATTTCCCAAGCTTTAAACATCTCAAGGAGCACTGTGCAAGCAATTATATTGAAATGGAAGGAGTATCAGACCACTGCAAATCTACCAAGACCCGGCCGTCCCTCCAAACTTTCATCTCAAACAAGGAGAAGACTGATCAGAGATGCAGCCAAGAGGCCCATGATCACTCTGGATGAACTGCAGATAACTACAGCTGAGGTGGGAGAGTCTGTCCATATGACAACAATCAGTCGTGCACTGCACAAATCTGGCCTTTATGGAAGAGTGGCAAGAAGAAAGCCACTCTGGGCTATAAACTCTGGGCTATAATTGAACTTGGTTCGGAAGTATTTACAGATGTCTAAATTATACCTTAGCAGCGGAGAATATGAGAATATGAATTTGAGCAGAATAATATCAACAGGTAAAGTGATTGGTGAATGGCAGAATTATCAGATGGATTTGTAATAATACAGTATGTACAGTATATGTGTGTGTGTGTGCGCACGCTTGTGTGTAAATACAGTTACTTACTAATACGGTGTATTTACGGTAAGGGAAGAAATCCTCTATGATATAGATGAAAATATATGGCCAGACAGACAAGTAGGCGTGGCAGTCCGGGAATAAGGTATGTATTGTTTACATTTGTGTACAGTTCAGCACATACAGCTGCACATTTTCGGCTGTACAGTGTATAGTTCTGTCCTGAGCATTTTCAGGTAGCGTCACCAAGATGTGACTTTTTGCATTGAAAAACACAGAGAGAGAAAACTGTCACGATGAAAACACGACAAATCCATTGACGGTGTTGTTCAGAAACACTGGTGTCAGGACTTATTACAGTCTATTACGTATTACTTATTACACAGACAGTTTCATTGACACAAAGCTTTTGAGGAATAAACTTTTCATTTTGAGAAAGTGATGCACTTTTGCAGGTAATTCACCAGGTTTTGCAGATTGTGCTAATATTTCTGAGACATGCACTGAAAACTGTAAAAGTTGGAGGATAAAATGGTTGCATATAGTTTAAATGGTGCATAACTTCTCCACCGGTAAAACAAAACAATCTTCCTCATGTGCTCAGCGTGACATAAGCACCAGCAGCATTTAGTCTATAATTCTCCTGTTTTCCCGGTTTGCTTGGCGCTTACTCAGGTTTTATGTGGCGTTCTTGGCTATTAATAGTATTTTTCTTCCCACGCAGTTTACAGGAGACACTGATAATTGTGACCACGACCGCCTTGTAGTAATGTCAACATTTCCATAGATGAAATGCTCCGTGGTTGTCCTCGATGAGACAAAAGTCACACCACTCACGGTTTCGTAACGCGTTGTAACGCAGCTTGCTTAGAAGCATGGCTGGTGACACTTTGGCACTTTAAAGCCACAGCTGCCCCACTGTGGCACCAGTTGTTCACAGAGGTCTCCCATCACAGCACTAACCAGGGTTAGCTTCAGAGTACAACTAACTATTATACAATAATAAAATATACAACAATCAAATATGAATCAGTTGGTCAAGTTTTGATTAAATACATGACTCATTCGATCGTTGTATGGATTTTAGTGCAACAATGAATGCATGGATTTGGAAGTGGAAGTAGACAGATGGATAGACGGATGAGCAGATAGATAGATAGACAGACAGAGAGAGGCAGGCAGACAGACAGATAGATAGATAATGCGTCTAGATAGTGAGTGTATGAGCAGCTGTTGTCATGGCAGCAGCACTTACATAGCACATAAATATCCATAAAACAGATTGTACCTCTTTAAGAGCCACCACTCCCACCAGTTTGCCGATGCTGGTGACGTAGGCGTGGCTCAGCCCCAGCAGAGAGAACAGTGTGTGAGTCTGGACACAGAGATTATACAAGTTTATAATAGGGAAAAACACAGCTCTCACACTCAGCCCAGAGTCTGTGCTTTGTTTGTTGAGCGATTGAATCTGTGCTTTCAATCAACCACTCAATCAAACTATATTTGTAGAGCGCCTTTCAAACACAAAGAAACACAATGCGCCTCACAACCCATATCACATCATCAAGCATAAATCATAAACATAAAATAATACAATAAAAATCCCACAGGGCATAAAAAACACACACAATAAATAGTGAAAAAAAAAAACTAGATTTTAAAACTGCCAGAGTAGACGCCTGTCTCACATTCCCAGGCAGACTGTCCCAGATTTTAACGGCATGAATCTGAAACACTGCCTCCCCATGTTTAGTTCTGACACTGTGTACCAGCAGGACCCAGATACACAGCTTTTTATGGAGCAAAATCACATTCTGTTCTCAGACACGGTGATGAAACTGGAGATCACACACACACACACACTGCATCTGGTGAATCTGTTTTGAATGCGTTATAACCTTGTGCAGTGACGTTCTCTCCACAAGCTGAAAAGGTGAAGGGTCCACTCGAATCTCATCGATTTCCATGGGTTTGTCCATCTCTGCCTCTTCCCACGCTTTAATCTGCAGAGAGCCAAGGTCACCTCCAGCATCAACACGCAATACAGCAAACACAACACAAGCCAAGGGCCAAACACACACAAAAACCATATGATTATAATGTATATATATACACTACTGTTGAGCCTAAAGCCAAAACTATTTATAGAAATGTCCATTTGAGTTTGCTGCAGTGTGAGACAGGAGAAAACTGTTCATGTTATTGTGTCTCAATCATTTACTTAAGCGTAAAAAACCTGTTATCGCAGGATCTCAGTCATACATTACATTATTATATGTGTGATTTGCATTAAAATGCTAATAATTAGAACTGTTTCTATAAGAAACATTGGCCCCTGTCAGAAATCCAGGGGTAATAATGGACTCAGACATAAATGTTAACACCTTTACCATATGAAAAACATCCAATTCAAAAGTACATAGTCTAAATCAGATCTGAAGATTCCTCTCCAGTGTCAGACCATAACAGCTACTCACTGGGCCCTACAAAAATTTGTCCTGGTTTAAGGTCTCTGTCCTGAAGTCCTCTCACATTAGTCCTGGTCTCAGGTCTCAGTCCTGAAGTCCTCTCACATTAGTCCTGGTCTCAGGTCTCTGTCCTGAAGTCCTCTCACATTAGTCCTGGTCTCAGAACACTGAGTTGTCCTTGATGCAGATTAAAGACGTCTGGCACTTTCTGCCTCCTGAATGTTACTGAGTCTGCGTCCAAAGACAAACATCCCAAACTATTTACAGAGATGCAGCAGGGCAGTTTCAGGAGGTTACTCGGGACACAGAAGCAGAGACACAAGAGGATCCCTGCGTTTCAACACAATTCAATGTTTAGGTTTCTCCTTCAGTGGTCGAATACTGTTGTTACCTTTAGTCTTTATACAGTGTTGAGAACCTCTTTGATATTTCAAGAGTTTTGACAACAGATGATTGAAATGAGGTCAGTTTTAATTAGCTTAAAATAGACAAATAAAGCAGCTCTGTGACTTATGTCAAACACTCATATACATATTCAACACAGAGTGAGTGTGGAGGAAGCTAAAAATACCTCAAGGTCTGTTTTTGGATGAGGACAAATGTAACAGCAATTTCAAAGCAGAAGAATACAGAGTAGGTTCAAAATCTAATCTCTCTCTGAGGAGTTTTGGTTCGGTATGCACTCCGCTGAGAAGAGTTATTCAGCTCTGAGAATACTGGTTTTCTTATTTATAATCTATAATTTCATGTTTTGTTCCAGATTGGTCAAGCCATTGCCTTTAGCAGAGTCCAGTTTCTCTTTTTGTTATTTTTGTTATTTTGTTATTAAAACTTTGTTGTCACTTGATTTACCAGACATGACTCCACAAAGTATTGGAATTGAATAGCTCTGGAGAAGAACTTTATAAAACATGATGTGATTGTGTTAAAGTTCTGACCTCTTCTAAAGTCATGGTGTCAGTCAGAGGAGGACGACTCGGCTCCTGGAAACACAGGGAGATTCACAGATTAATAAAAATATGAAGAAAAAATACATTTATGCAGCATTTATGAAGTATGCAAACTTGAACGTGTTGAACGAGTTTGAACGTGAACTGTAGGAGAGTAATAATGAGTTTGTGCGTGAGTGTGCTGTTTTGACACTGTGCTTCTCATGTGTTACCTCAACAACATCATAAGACATTAGTGTAACTCATTGGTCTCTCTCTGGTCTCCATGTGATCTCTTTCTGGTCTCTCTCTAGGTCTCCCTGTGATCTCTCTCTGGTCTCTCTCTGGTCTCCCTCTGATCTTTTTCTGGTCTCTCTCTTGGTCTCCCTGGGATCTCTCTCTGGTCTCTCTCTGGTCTCCCTCTGATCTCTCTCTGGTCTCTCTCTGGCCTCCCTCTGATCTCTTTCTGATCTCTTTCTGGTCTCTCTCTTGGTCTCCCTGTGATCTCTCTATGGTCTCTCTCTGGTCTCCCTATGATCTCTCTATAGTCTCCTTGTGATCTCTCTCTGGTCTCCCTTTAATCTCTTTCGGGTCTCCGAGTGATCTCTCTCTGGTCTCCCTCTGTTCTCTCTCGGATCTCTCTTTCCAGTCTTTCTGGTCTCCCTCTGATCTCTCTTTGGTCTATCTATGGTCTCTCTCCGGTCTCTGGTTAGAAAAGTGTGTGTGAGGGTTTTACCTTACGGTAATTTACCTTATTGTGGCCCGTGTGTTAAACCATGGACCAGGGAACTGTGATTATAATGGGATTTGTTCAGCACTTTGAGCCTCGTTTAAGAACTGTGCTATAGAAATATAAACTGTATCCTTTTGGATTAGCCCTCACTAATGAACAGCAAATGGAGTGCTAATTTGTGTAACATTTCTGGTTAATTGGTATTTTTTAAAGCACTTATTAGTTATTATTCTTGCCGTCATTAGAACATCCAGGATGGAGGAGAAGAGAAAGAAGAATGGATTGATGTTCAGGAGCAGAACAACACCAGGAGATTGAATCTAATCTCAAACTGACGGGGAAACCTTTGGAGAAGGTCAGTGTTTCGGCCTTTAAACTCCGAGCGTCTGCCTGTTTATCACACAGAAGATCTGCTGTAAAAGTGATCTCCAGACAGAGGGGAACCAACGCAAATCGGATCTGAGGCAACAGGAGCGAGAGAGATCATCATCTTGTCAATGTTACAGAAGCAACGGCACTAATGTCAGAGTAGAAACCTGTCTCACATTTTCAGGATGAAAGTTTCAGATTTTAGCTGCATGAATCTGAAACGCTGCCTGTTTTTTTCTGACTTGACAACAGCAGGAGGCTAGTCCCTGTGCTCCTCAGAGTCCCAGCAGGAGGCTAGTCCCTGTGCTCCTCAGAGTCCGAGTTGGCTCATATCGCTCTAACATGTCACAGATGTACTAGACCATGAAGAAACTTGTAACAAGCAGAGCTGCTTTGAAGTCTTTTCTCTGAGCCACAGGAGGTAGAGACCTGAGACCAGGACTAATGTGAGAGGACTTTGGGACAGGGACCTGAGAACAGGACTATGTGTACTGTGTCGTAAATATTAAGAACCACCGGTAAGAACCATGGGGGTGGGAAAAAACTATTGTCATCAAATTGGCCATAAAAAGAGAGACTCACCATCATGACATAATAGATACATATTCATGTCCTTTGTGAAACAATAGCATTATTACCATGTGAATGAGTTCCACACCAGCGGATTGTTACTCATCACAGACAACACAAGAGCCGCTGTTTACAAAGACAACACAATAAGGAGAGGATTGTCATCTCAAACTCCAAATGAAAGAATTAATGAAGTAAATATGTCTGAACATCATCCAACAGTTTCTATTGAGCTGAATCATAAACATTTCTCTGTACTGAGGCATTCTTACAGAAGGGGCCTTGCTGAGTGGAGTTGGCCTTTTCTCTCCATGTCTGCGTATGGTACCTTTACTCCAGGTGCTTTGATTTACCCTACCACTACATGTACAATAGTTGTAATGCTTTTAGCGTATTGCTTCTTCACCGTGTGGGCAGAATGGAGACAGGTCAATACTTCAAAATATGGTAAGGCTTGTGTGTGACCTTGGTCTGTGAAATGTGCTATATGAATAAGAGAAATGAGCTTAATTGGACTCCTAACCCTCAGGTAAGTGTGCAACCTACTAGACCACCTGTGCCACCACTTCACTGCTGAGGTCGCAGCTGCTGCTCACACTGAAAACACCACTTCTATAATTACAGCCTGGCGTCCCGAAGGCAAAACTACAGACTCTGTGTCCAAATGCAGAGGACGACAACAGACGTCTTGCTTTTAAATAGGACCAAAGACACTTTTCTGCTGCAGTTGCAAAGGACGCAGTGGAAGACCAGAGGGAGACCAAATAGATATCAGAGAGAGAGAGACCAGGGAGAGACCAAAGAGAGAGAGCCCAGAGAGACAAGATAGAGACCAGAGAAAGAGAAAGACCAAAGAGAGAGACCAGAGAAAGAGACTAGAGCGACCAGAGAGAGAGAGAGAGATCAGAGAGCAAAATGGAGTTAAATGTCTTGCCCAGGGACACAACAACAGCAGACTTCAGTGGGAGCAGGTGGTATGAGTCATGGGGGATCCAACCCACTACCAATAGGTTCAAAGACCAATGCTCTTCCAACTGAGCCACGGAATGGTACTTGTATTTTGCTGCTGTCAGAAGGCTGTTCCAGAGTCAGGCCTTACACGGTCTGTGCTCTGGTCCCTGGTGTGACTGCAGATGTGTAAATGTGGAGCTCTCACTTGTGACGGTCCCTCGCTTGGTTTGGCTCTGGAGGTAAACACACTGCTCAGGGCATTTCTCACAGACTGCAGGGGACCAGAGTCTGGAAGAGAGAGCAGATACACACAGAGGATCAGAGATAACAGACATGAGAGAGCCCAAAGAGAGAGGTCAAAGAGAGAGCCCAGAGAGAGAGAGAAAGAGATACCAAAGATATAGACCAGAGAGAGAGAGAACAAAGAGTGACCAGAGAAATATCCGAGAGAGAGAGAGAGAGAGGCCAGAGAGAGACAGAAGAGAGAGATCACTGAGGTTTGCTGTTACTGTGTCCCTGGGCAAGACACTTAACCCAACTCTACCTAAAGCCCCAGCTGAAAGACCAAAGACCCACCGTCTGCAGGAGGTTGGGTTTCAGTTTAGATTGCTAGCACCCAGACCTCGAACTGGACTAACACAGAGATTTCAGAGATTCCTGAAATGAGCCATTATTTGTGAATAAAGCCAGAACATTGCTTGGACCATTTGCTTTCCTTGATTATGAATGTCTCCCTTTCTGGTCTCTCTTTCTGATCTCTTTCTGGTCTTCCTGTAGCCCCCAGTCCTGCTCCTGACTGGCTCCAACAATATTTCAACCTGGAGAGACTACAAGAGACGAGATGCGTTTAAGAGTTGTTTATTTTATGGATTGAGTTTGTTTATTGGTTTGGAGCTTAGGCCCCGGCTGTGGCCGTGCTCTGAAGAGATCTGCGCCTGGGTGCAGATCATGATCCCCCGGGGCCTAGACACTGGTGGTGGCAACAAGGCAAGGTGAATGTGAGAGTGAAGAAATCCTGAGGCGGAGGTGGGGAGGAGGTGGTTGCAGCTTGAAGTCCGTTTGGTGAGCTGTGCTCTGCTTTGCTCTTAAACGCTGGCTTGATTGACACGGCTGCGGGGAGTTGATTAAGACAGGCTGAGTAAGGCGTGGTCAAGCCTGGTGGGATAACGTAGGTAGTCTACCATGCTGAACCTCCGCTTAAGCTTCATTTCAACCTGGAGAGACTACAAGAGACGAGATGCGTTTAAGAGTTGTTTATTTTATGGATTGAGTTTGTTTATTGGTTTGGAGCTTAGGCCCCGGCTGTGGCCGTGCTCTGAAGAGATCTGCGCCTGGGTGCAGATCATGATCCCCAAAAAGAGAGCTTGGCTAGCGATGCGTTTGCCATGACTTGGTTGCTGCGTTTATGGAAGGCGCATGGTGTGAGTGACTGTTTCCGTGCGCGAGCTCGGCTCTAGCGCTAGGCGTTGGCACGCGCACGAGCTCGGCTCGAGTGCGCAGCGTAATGTCTGTGCGCGAGCTCGGCTCTAGCGCTAGGCGTTGGCTCGCGCACGAGCTCGGCTCGAGTGCGCGGCGTAATGTCCGGGCGCGAGCTCGGCTCTAGCGCTAGGCGTTGGCACGCGCACGAGCTCGGCTCGAGTGCGCGGCGTAATGTCCGGGCGCGAGCTCGGCTCTAGCGCTAGGCGTTGGCACGCGCACGAGCTCGGCTCAAGTGCGCGGCGTAATGTCCGTGCGCGAGCTCGGCTCAAGCGCTAGGCGTTGGCACGCGCACGAGCTCGGCTCGAGTGCGCGGCGTAATGTCCGTGCGCGAGCTCGGCTCTAGCGCTAGGCGTTGGCACGCGCACGAGCTCGGCTCGAGTGCGCGGCGTAATGTCCGGGCGCGAGCTCGGCTCTAGCGCTAGGCGTTGGCACGCGCACGAGCTCGGCTCGAGTGCGCGGCGTAATGTCCGGGCGCGAGCTCGGCTCTAGCGCTAGGCGTTGGCACGCGCACGAGCTCGGCTCAAGTGCGCGCCGTAATGTCCGTGCGCGAGCTCGGCTCAAGCGCTAGGCGTTGGCACGCGCACGAGCTCGGCTCGAGTGCGCGGCGTAATGTCCGGGCGCGAGCTCGGCTCTAGCGCTAGGCGTTGGCACGCGCACGAGCTCGGCTCGAGTGCGCGGCGTAATGTCCGGGCGCGAGCTCGGCTCTAGCGCTAGGCGTTGGCACGCGCACGAGCTCGGCTCAAGTGCGCGCCGTAATGTCCGTGCGCGAGCTCGGCTCAAGCGCTAGGCGTTGGCACGCGCACGAGCTCGGCTCAAGTGCGCGGCGTAATGTCCGTGCGCGAGCTCGGCTCTAGCGCTAGGCGTTGGCACGCGCACGAGCTCGGCTCAAGTGCGCGGCGTAATGTCCGGGCGCGAGCTCGGCTCTAGCGCTAGGCGTTGGCACGCGCACGAGATCGGCTCAAGTGCGCGCCGTAATGTCCGTGCGCGCGCTCGGCTCAAGCGCTAGGCGTTGGCACGCGCACGAGCTCGGCTCGAGTGCGCGGCGTAATGTCCGTGCGCGAGCTCGGCTCTAGCGCTAGGCGTTGGCACGCGCACGAGCTCGGCTCTAGCGCTAGGCGTTGGCACGCGCACGAGCTCGGCTCGAGTGCGCGGCATGCTGGAAATGAGGAGTTGCCACCACCAGGAGATGCATACGTACTTATAATGAGAGGAGGCGCTGGGCTGCCAGAACGGATGAATGTGGTAGAGAACCAGGGACCGAGCTTCTGGAGAGATGATTGGGGGAATCCCAGGGCAGCAGTCCAAGTGGCTGCTCCTATCCGGAAGGAGTGGCGGGTGTAGTAGAGAGAAGGAAGAGAGGTTACATGCAGGGAGCAGAGGTTTTGAATTTGTTCAGACCAGGGGGTCGTCGAGGGATTGTTTAAGGAGTAATTATAGTCTATGAATGTTGATAAAATGTCCATAGATGTTGAAGAATGTTAAAGTATCCTGGATCATCGCCACGGGCCTTCTAGTTGGACACTAACTGTCCAGACCCTCCTGTATGGCAAGGAAAACTCACAAAACCCCGTGGGGAAAAAAGTGAGAAACCTTCGGAAGACCCTACATTGAGAGAGGGAATCCACTCCACGGACAGACAGGCTAGTCGTCCAGGACCTAAACTACAGAACAAGGACCATTGCCAATACTCCTTTAAGGATCTTCTTATGAGGGTGGAGCAGTGTGACTCGAAGTGGATTTTAGAGAATGTATTTAATGCTGATGTAGATGAGGCAGTGACGGCAGTACCCGCGATGCTGATATCCAGAGACTGAGAGTGTGCAGTGAGAGGGAAAGGAGAATGCTGAATGAAGGATGAACTGCTGGTGTTTAGAGCGCTGATATTCGAACATGATTCCACTTGAGGAGACTAGAAGGTGAAAATGAGATTCATGAAGTACACTTACCCAGGAAGATTGATGTTCGATAGGAGATCTCTGGACCCCCAAAAACCAACGCACAAGGGCCCGGTCAGAATGAGGGCCAGGGTGCGTCAGGTAAGGCGAAGCGTGAGACAGGCCCGGCGGCAGGAGCCGCACCAGGAGAGAATATGCCTGGGGAACATGAGAAGGAGCACCGCCTACAGCCACACAGAGTGCACGCAGACCGTGGCGGGCAGTGCAGCACACCAAAAGTCAATGAATGCGGCCTGGGGAAGATAGCCGGCCAGGTTTGAAGGCCACGCCGAACAGTACTCACGCAGTCTTAGCAGGCCAGCGTTGCAGCAGGCCACCGTCGCGGCGTTGTAGCAGAGCTTTGGTGCGGCGTTGCGGCATCGCGTTCCTGCGAAGCTGAAAGAGAAACCCTCGAACCACTATCACTCGAGTGAAAAGGACCAACGGGCAGTGTCAGACCGCGTCTTCAGTCAGACCGCGTCTTCAGTCAGACCGCGTCTTCAGTCAGACCGCGTCTTCAGTCAGACCGCGTCTTCAGTCAGACCGCGTCTTCAGTCAGACCGCGTCTTCAGTCAGACCGCGTCTTCAGTCAGACCACTGACCTGATCCGTCGATGCCGGCTCTTCCCGTCATTGTGAAGCAGAACTCTCCAAGCGTTGGATTGTTCACCCCCCAATAGGGAACGTCCATGGTCGACACTGGTCCCACGATGACTGGATGAGAGCACACGAATGCGTCGAAGCGTGGCGTCGAGAATGCGGCAGGAGGCGGACACCTACGTGGCGTCAAACAGCGGCCACCGGCGATGAAGCGTGCGGCCGCCGACGTGCTGCGATGAAGCGTGCGGCCGCCGACGAGCAGTGATGAAGCTTGCGGCCGCCGGCGAGCTGCGATGAAGCGTGCGGCCGCGGACGTGCGCCGTCGTTGAAGCGTGCGCCGTCGTTGAAGCGCGCGGCGTCGTTGAGGCGTGCGGCGTCGTTGAGGCGTGCGGCGTCGTTGAGGCGTGAGGCGTGCGGCGTCGTTGAGGCGTGAGGCGTGCGGCGTCGTTGAGGCGTGAGGCGTGCGGCGTCGTTGAGGCGTGAGGCGTGCGGCGTCGTTGAGGCGTGAGGCGTGCGGCGTTGTTGAGGCGCGCGGCGTCAAAGCGCGCGGCGTTGTTGAGGCGTCGTTGAGGCGTGCGGCGTCGTTGAGGCGTGAGGCGTCGTTGAGGCGTCGTTGAGGCGTGAGGCGTCGTTGAGGCGTGAGGCGTCGTTGAGGCGTCGTTGAGGCGTGAGGCGTGCGGCGTCGTTGAGGCGTCGTTGAGGCGTGCGGCGTCAAAGCGTGCGGCGTCAAAGCGTGCGGCGTGGAGGAGGAGTCGAAGCGTGCGGCGTCGAAGCGTGCGGCGTCGAAGCGTGCGGCGTCAAAGCGTGCGGCGTGGAGGAGGAGTCGAAACGTGCGGCGTCAAAGCGTGCGGCGTCAAAGCGTGCGGCGTCAAAGCGTGCGGCGTGGAGGAGGAGTCAAAGCGAGCGGCGTCAAAGCGTGCGGCGTCAAAGCGTGCGGCGTGGAGGAGGAGTCAAAGCGTGCGGCGTCGAAGCGTGCGGCGTGGAGGAGTCAAAGCGTGCGGCGTGGAGGAGGAGTCAAAGCGTGCGGCGTGGAGGAGGAGTCAAAGCGTGCGGCGTGGAGGAGGAGTCAAAGCGTGCGGCGTGGAGGAGGAGTCAAAGCGTGGCGGCGTCGAAGCGTGGCGTCGAAGCGTGGCGTCGAAGCGTGGCGTCGAAGCGTGGCGTCGAAGCGTGGCGTCGAAGCGTGGCGTCGAAGCGTGGCGTCGAAGTGGCGTAAGGCCAGAGCACTGGGCAAATGAACAGCACAGAGGGGCCCGGCCGCGCACCGACCAATCAGATCAATGCAGTGGACAAAACTTACAGTCCACGGTCAATTTAGACAGAGCGAAGGCCAATGCAGACAACAAATGTTATAGTCCATGGTTACACTGACAGCCTGAAGGTCAATGCCGTGGGTAAAATTTTCAGTCCATAGTAAAACGGACAGCCTGGAGGTCACTGCAGTGGGTAAAATTTTCAGTCCATAGTAAAACGGACAGCCTGGAGGCCACTGCAGTGTGCAGAATGTTCATCCCATGAGTAAAACGTACAGCCAGAAGGCCAGCACAGTGGTTAAAACGTACGGTCCATGGTGAAAACGGACAGTCTAAATGCCAATGCAGATGGTAAAACGAACAGCCTGAAGAGCAATGCAGGGGGCAAAAACACAGCCTGCGAGACAATTCGGCGGGAATAACTGACACGCCGCAGTTCAGTACGTTCATGGTAGTGCGGAAACAACGAAACCGACACTGTACCGTGAGTGGAGGCAGGGAGACGGGTGGACAGAGGCAGCAGACAACGGCAGGCAGACAGAAGTCCCGTGCCCGGTATGGAAGCTGCAGAGCGCACAGAGTAACGCCTGGCCGCGAGCAGCAGCGGCCACGGGAAGACGAGCGGCAGCGAGTCCGCAGGAGAGGAGCCGCGGTGGAGACACAGCGACCATGGCGCGCAGCCCCAAACATGTGATGTGGAAGAGGAGCCGCGACCATGCAGGACGAACAATGTGCGAGGCGTGAGTAAACAAAGTGACGAAGAGCAACACGTTGCAGCTTGAAGTCCGTTTGGTGAGCTGTGCTCTGCTTTGCTCTTAAACGCTGGCTTGATTGACACGGCTGCGGGGAGTTGATTAAGACAGGCTGAGTAAGGCGTGGTCAAGCCTGGTGGGATAACGTAGGTAGTCTACCATGCTGAACCTCCGCTTAAGCTTCATTTCACATTGTATGCACAGTATTTGACAGCTGCAGCAGCTCAGACCTACAGCCAACAGGTTTGATATCTCTGCAATCGCGTGTGACATTGCACTAACATCCAAAGTTTCAAAGTTAAAGCACAAAAATGTAGAAAGACTCCAGAACAGTGTCATTGTTTTGTGATGGCCATTTCTCCCCAGTAAGTATCTTTGTGTGGAAACAGCACTTGGTGTATCTTGTAGACAACACTGCATATCAATCCCCTCTTTGTTATGAATCACATGTTATGTTGTTTCAGACCCAGCTTATGCTTATATACAGACACATCCTTAAAGAGAGGAAATAAGTATCCCCCATCTGTTGTTGCCGGGTAACTTTGTCCCTTGTTTTCATAGGGGCCGTACAAGCCATCAGCACATGTGTTAAAACCTTTCTTTGCTTCCTTCAGTAATCACAGAGGGGCGAATACATGCAATTATGTTCAGGCAACAGCTTGAAATAATAAAATGCCGTTGTCTGAAAAGTGGGATGAGAACAGAGCCACAGGGAACAGAAACAATACTGCTCCTGGAATTAAACAATAGAGCATGACAAAGAGGCATTGAACAGGAAGAGACCTTGGTCAGATAGTCCAAGGTCCTAAGAGAAAGAGCAGAGAGATCAGAGAGAGACCAGAGAAAGACCAGAGAGACATGAGAGGGACCAGAGTGAGAACACAGAGACTCCGGTGAGAGACATGAGGCCAATTAAAGAGTACTAATGTAAACGAACTAATAATGGTTATGTTTTTCCGCCAGTTCCACGTCATGCTGAGGTGACGTTGTGCATCTTTTCTTTATAGAGACATTTATTTTAAAGTAGAGTCAGGAGATCGATGTTCTTGCCAAATGTCTGACTTTCAAACACACATAATGTAATTGAAAAGATTATACATTTATAGTTGGCTGTGTAAAACGTTCTTTAAATATTTGTGCTGCTTTTAGAGAACTTGGCAATAACATCTTCGGACAAATCAAAGCTAATTTATTTTAAAACTATTCTTCTTGTTCCAGAGCTGTTTTTGTCGTGCATGAAACAGTGAGTCACTGTGAGTTACCAAATTTATAAAAAACCATGAGAATAAATCACTGCTCGTTTCTCTACATGAAATTTACGTACGTATCTGTGTATTAATAATCTGAATAATGTCAGAATGTGCAACATGGGACCACATTTGTCACTGTCCCAAAGCCCCATGCTGCTAACATGTACAGATGTATACATACAATTATAGATTTATGCCCTAGAATTTACGAGACACTTGCTTCTTTAAAATGCTAAAGATATAGATCGTACACTTTCTTCCTTACTATGCTAAAGTTAGAGATTATATACTTGCTTCTTTATTATGCTTAGAGATAATTTAAAATTGCTTCTTTATAATGCTAAAGTTGTAGATTGTATACTTTCTTATCTATTATGCTAAAGTTAGATATGTTTTACTTGCTTGAGTGCTGTTTTACACCTTGTGATGTGTGCTGCTCATTCCTACTGTTCTCTAGCCTGTAGATGTAACACTGACATTTCCCCACTAATCTGTATCTTAAACAAAGGAATCAAGTTTCTACAAAAATGAATGAAAAAGAATAAATCTTCCTCTTGTTTACTGACTCACCAGGTTTTGAGTTATTTAAGAGTTCGTCCATTTAAAAAAACACTCTCAGGATTCTCTGTGTTTTAAATATGTCTAGCTCTTTGGCTCAGTCCTTTGCCTCTTTGAGCTGAGAGCTGATTGGCTCCTCTGTGGTTGTGCCTAAGGCCACTCTGAATAATGTAGTGGCACCACCTTAATGTGAAAGGTTTGGGAACACCGGGTGCCTCAGTGCGGCGGCTACGGCTGCAAAGTGCCGAACTGTGGTTGTGTCCTCAGGAAGACACTTCACCCACATTACAATGAGTCTGGTGTGTGGGAGGGGTCAATGGCACAGACTGGTTGCCTTGCTTCTGTCAATGTGCCCCAGGGCAGCTGTGGCCACAGGAGTAGTTTATTACCACAAATAAATAAATACACCACACATAAATAAAAACATAATTCTAAAAGTCACTAACAATAGTAGTAGATATGTGACTAAATGGATGTATCCCAGCTATAACAAACATGGGCCTCTTTATCTCATGTCTCAGAGTCAAAGAGAGACAAAGTAAAGAATAACTCACGTCAGAAGAGGTTTGTGTCACTATGACAACACCACAAGGCCCTGACACACGCCTCACGCATGTGCAAATGAAGCTGCTTTTCACACAGTCCTCTGCATTCTGCCTTTCTCTGCTGAACTCTGAAAAAACCCACTAAGTTTGAGGCAGAAGGAGGAAAAAATAACTCAAGCTAGAAGAAACAGTTGGGAGAGTCAAGTTGAAGACCTGTCAGGGATCCTTATACTTTGCCAAACCCTTTATTTGCATGTTCCATAGTTCTATACAAATCAGGTTCACTGGAGGCAGTCGATCTGAGCTGAAGGATGGAGGTTCGAATCCTGCTCCTGATTTACAGATTACACTGGGTAACAAAAACATATTTTTGAATTGGACTAATTTTGATGCTCTGAGTCCGAAAATGACCTTGGTTTTGCTCAATCAGGTCAGGATTTTTTGCTACAGAAATATTTATTTAATCGATTTTGCGTAAAAAAACAATTTCTGCGGATCATCAGCTGAGAAACCCTTGACGTTTTTTCCATTTTCCTCAAGAAATAAAAGTCAACGTATCCAAAGTCATTCAGTTTTTATTTACTCCATCAAATTTGATAAGCAGAATTCATAACAACGTAGACGTACATAATCCGTAACACTATGGCTGTATCTCAAAAAGTTGACCTGATAGAGCAAAATGCATGTGATATTCGGACTCAGAACACCAAAATTAGTCTAAATCAGTTGAGAAACCCCTGACCATTTTTTGGCTGTCAACTTGTGTTATCAGATGTGAAACCAGCTCCCACTGGGGATTACGGCTATGTGTCCTTGGGCAAGACACTTAAACAGCCTCTCTCCAGTGTCTGCACACATGTGTGTGGGATAGTTCGTTGGTGCGAAGAGCTTTGCGTCTTGTAAAAGCGATGCATAATCACATCATTTACACTGCTCCTGAATGAAGAGCGGTGAGAAACTTTACACAACTCCAAACTGTTTTTGGACAGGGTCATTGTCCTGGATCTACAGCCTCAGTCCTGGGTCTACAGCCTCAGTCCTAGGTCTACAGCCTCAGGCCTGGATCTGCAGCCTCAGTCCTGGATCTACAGCCTCAGTCCTGGATCTACAGCCTCAGTCCTGGATCTACAGCCTCAGTCCTGGATCTACAGCCTCAGTCCTGGATCTATAGCCTCAGTCCTGGATCTACAGCTTCAGTCCTGTGTCTACAGCCTCAGCCCTGGGTCTAATCTCTATGGACATAAAGTTCCTTGCATTTTCTGTGTTCGAACTGTTTGATTCTCTGATCTGTTGTTGGTGAATCCACAATTTTGTAAAGTCCTCAGAGACGGCCGCTGCTGTGATTTGAATTGCTCAACTGTTACCAGTGACGACACTTAACCCCACTTTACCTGACGCCCCCACTGAAAGATCAAGGCTGTGCTGACAGAGCTGGTACTCAGTGAATTGGGTGAAGCTCTGACTACCACCCCCCCGACCCAGTGATGGATTAAGGGGTAGAAAAAGGATAATAGATGGATTCTGTAAATATTTTACATGTTTCAAACAGTCAATAGTTGACAGTGTGTGAGTTGAACTATAGCTAACCTGTGGTGGTGTTGTGTGTTCCTGATGGATCTGGAGGCTTCGCTGGAGGCAGAGGTCCGTTCCTCTCCCCCAACATCGAGACCTCCTGAAAACAACAGCAATAACACTTTACAAACAGCTTTAATGTTAGTTTTATCCAGTTTAAAGTTGTCAATTTCTCATGCAAACATGTATCTGTGTAGTACATTCTGCTTGTGGCACCTTCTCTTTGTCTTTCTCGTCTTCCTCTTCGTCAACGAAGGCCAGAGTCTCCCAGCCATGTCTTTGACCCTGACTCTGCTCCTGCAAACAGTGGCCCTGAAAAAACCCAATCTGTTACACAGGGAAAATACAACCTCAAAAACTGTTCAGGATAAATGTGGGAGCCCCAGTGCCATCTCGACATTTTCCCTTCCCTGGTTCATTTAAAACCTTCTTTCTTAATCCTGTTAACATTAAACTCCTTGTAATTCAAGCATGTGCATCGAGTAAATACGTTTAATCATGTTTCACCGCATGTGTTGTATTGAGCTCACACATCTGCCGCCGAAACAACCATGCAAACAACAACGTACGACACCACTCTGCATAAACCTGCAGCACCACATGTTCCAGTGTGAAACAGGTCTCAGAACTCACCTGCATCAGCAGCCGTCTCTCTGGGGACAACCACCAGTCACAGAGCGCCAGCAGCTCCACCCTGTCCACACTGCCCAGGAGGATCATGGAGTCTGAGACACACACACAATATATTTGCATGTGTTTGTGCATGGGTCTGTATGTGTGTATGTATGCAGGATACAGCTAAAATTACTCGACAGATTGAGGTTCAATTAGATCATGTCTTTCTCTCTAGTTTCTCTCGGGTCTCTCTCTGGTCTCCCTGTCTACAGTCTCTCTGGTCTGTTTCTGGTCTCTCTCTGGCCCCCTAGAAAAGTGTAAAGTGTGATGGTTTAGGATGTAACCTATTGCGGTTATTTTTTAAAAACACATCACCCCAGCCATAAACCCGGGACCACTGCTATCAATTCATTCCTTTTTGCAAAGTGACACCTCTGTTTCCTTGTGTCAGAATGTTCTGACCTTTGGAGTCGACCAGAGGGATGGTCTTCAGAGACGTGGAGTCCAGCAGCCGTTTGACCTCTCTGTACGTGGACTGAGCAGAGATGAACTTCACTTTTCTCACCATGATGTTCTCCACAAATATGTTGTACTGACTGTAGGACAGATCCAACATTACTACATTTTATGTTAAGATGAAGAGATCCTTTACTCAGTGTTGTATCACCGGTCACAGAGCAGAAGGAATGAGGAGCACACAGCACAAGATAAATTAACAATAACTAAAATAAAATAAAATCTCTAATTTTACCATAATGAATAAGATAGAATAAAATCTCTCACTTTAGCATAATTCAGTAACAAATATATAATCTCTAACTTCAGCATAATAAAGAAGCAAGTAAAAATCCTGTATCTAGTGCACAAATACAGTATATAGTATTTTTACATCTGTACATGTTAGCAGCATGAGGCTCTGGGATACAGTGACAGTTCATTATAATTTTGATAACATTTTTATTCTCTTCTGTTGTTGAGACCAAACCAAGAGTATGTATAATAGTTTTTACAATAGTCAAATTAAGCTAAAGATTAAGATTAAGATTAAGATGAAAAGAGCCATTATTCCTCCAACAGTGGGGAAATTTCAGAAGCGGAGGTTCAGACTGGAAACTCTACATATGCACAAGCTCACTACTCTCAATCCTCAATGACTTTATCACACTCAATTCTCAAATTAAACACTGTCCTGCATCAAGCTTTCATGCTGTTCAGAAATATTTCATTTGTGTAACAACCTTCTTCCTCCCCTCACCGCCTCATCAGCCAGACCAGCTCTACAATCCTTCTCTTTAGCTCCCACCACCAGGGTCCAGGCTCTGTGGGATTTCACCTCATCATCTCTATTTTACTTTACCCTTCTGCATTTGTCACAGTGCTCTGCCGGGGTCAAAGCACCAAATCATAGCCACATTTCATGTACAGAAGCAATAAATGTCATTCTTGCATAAAAGAGTCTCCTGTGCTAATTTATGTAGAGCCAAAGAACTATGACAACCAATGAATACAAATCTAATAAGCTTATTTGCTTGTTTGAGTCTATCCAGATTGATGTGACGGTTGCGGATGTTACCTCCACATCACGTATGTGTGTATCATGACCAGGAAGTCAACACAGAACATTTTGAGTCAAAATCTTAAATCTATTTACTGTACAGCTGTGTTTTGGTCTAACCTGCCATAGAGATAGACCTGCCAAACGACTGGACCAGAACCCCAGTTTCTCAGATGCACGAGTGCGGAGCAGGAGGTACCGCTCTCACTGTCATTTTTCATCTTAAATTGTGTTTAATAATTCATTGTCTTATATTCTTTCATTTCTCACTGGCACAGCGCTAAAGCCCGCTATTCTACTGATCTGTCTGGACCTGCAATAAGAATAGGTGGAAGGTGAAATTTTAAACACTGAAGTTCAAATGCACTCATGCCAGAAATAATTTAAATCAAATTTGTGTGTAAAACTTTACCCATTCCTTATGTGTTGATTCACATGTGCTGACCAGAGAGAGAGCAGAGAGAGAGAGAGCAGAAAGAAAGCAGAGAGAGTGCAGAGAAAGACCAGAGAGAGATCAGAGAAAGAGCAGAGAGAGAGAGAGAGCAGAGAGCAGAGAGAGTGAAGAGAGAAATCAGAAAGAGAGTAGAGAGGAGAGAGCCAAGAGAGAGAGAACAGAGAGACAGAGACCAGATGTCAGTGCAAGTTTCCTCCAGGTGCTGCAGTTTCCCCTCCTGCTAAAAACATGTACAATAGGTTTGAATTGAATGAGATGGGGATGTGGAGTGGAAAAATATCTTCAATCCAATTTTTTTTTTTTAAGTGTTTTATGTGACCTTGGTCTGTGAAATGTGCTACAGAGATAACTTATTCTATTGTTCCAGATACATTTTAATATTCATGAGATAATAACGTATTGGTTTACCATTACACCATTAAGGGATGGACTATACAATGAAGAACCTAAGCTGCTCTGACCTGATGTGTCCGAAGCCGAGCTCGGGCAGGTAGGGCAGTTTCTTGACCTGGATAATAGAGTCGTAGAGGGACGGCTGTAGACCCTGAGCCACCATGTTGGCCAGGATCACTGCCACCATCATGGGCAGGATGTGTGAGATCTGTCCTGTCAGCTCGAAGCAGATCACGGCTGTAGACACCGTGTGAGTCACTGCTCCGGTCAGAGCTGCTGCTCCTGGAGGAAGAGGAAGAGACATGTTCAACCAAGCACAAGGGCAGGAGTTAGAAATGGAACAGTAATCTGGCATCAGGGTTTGGGCTTCAGGAGAATATAGCAATTAAACATGCATGGATTACTCTTAAGGCAACTTTGAGTTATTAACCAGGAGCAGTCACTCTGTTCTCGTTCTGGTATTCCTTGTCCAGAGAGGTTTTACCTGTAAGGCTTCAAAGATCACTGATAACTACTTGGTCTCTCTCTCTGTCCTCTCACTGGTCTATTTCTGGTTACTTACTTATCACTACTTACAAATCTACTTTATTGTTTTTGTTTTTTTTATTTACCAATCTAGTTCATTAATATTACAGCCCTAATTCCACTTTGTTTTAAACTTCAATGAATCAAACACATGACGGATTTGGAGCTTGTGTGACATTCTCTGAGTTCAACATCTGTTTTAATGTGAAGGAGGGACTGACCAATGACAGCGTACCCTCCAGGGATGATCCGGTACAGAATCCCATCAAACATGATTCCATCAGGAAACAGAGAAGCCATGATCTCTCCCACCAGGCGACCGAACGCTGCTCCTAAACAATATACACAGAGGAGGATGGATGAGCGACAAGGGGGTGATGAGGGAGAGAGGGACGAGTGATGAGGGAGTGACGAATGAGTGAGGGACGAGTGGTGGATCTCATCACAAATACACAGCACATAGGAAACATATTTTGAGATTTCACGTTCATCTGTTGTCTTTTGTGCTCAGAGAGAGAGAGACCAGAGAGAGATCAGAGAGAGGCCAAAAAGAGATCAGAGAGAGAGAGACACGGGAGAGACCAGAGAGAAATCAGAGGGAGAGTCAAGAGAGAGACCAGAGAGAGGAAGAGAGCCTGAAAAAGAGACCAGAGAGGTATATATGCCCTTTTGGTCACTTCTAAAACCGCAATCAACAACAATACAGTGAAACAAAGCTCACAACTCAGGGGACTGGGCACAAATATAGCGGATAGCAACCATTGCCAAGTCCGGGTCACATGACTGAAAGCCAAGAATACTAACAGATGGTGAAATAATTCACCAATTAGATGAGTTCTCCATAAATTCAGTGAGTGGTCACATAGTGAGCCAGAAAACAGCAGCGGAGAAGGAAGCATGAATATTGAATATTAAAACTCCCAGCTCTGAAAAGGTCACACTCTGAAACCAAAACAAGATGCAAAAAGAGCCCAGCAGCAGTCATCAGGATTTCTACACTGTTCTGTGATCTTGTAATGAGGACATGGATTATCACTGTAGGCGTGGATGAATAATACAACAGTCTGTGATCACAGTATTAGGAACAAGTGCATTTGGTGTCATTGCATTAAAGTGTAGAGAATGGACTAACCCAGAGTGAAGACGGGCATGAAGGCTCCAGATGGGATGGGCATCGTCGTAGCAACGGCAGACATCCAGAACTAGAGACAGAGACAGGTTTACACTGGGAGATATGGACAAAACATGGAATGAATAAAAAAACAAAACAAACAAACAAATAATGTAAGTCTTATTGCTCTCAAAATCTGTTTGGATCTTTCATATTAGTTATTCACATTATGTATTTTGACTTGTGTCACGTCTTTAAATCAGTTTTCAGATGATTTACAAAGTTAAAATATGGGGGTGACAGTGGCTCAGTTGGTAGACCATTGGCCTTTGGGCTTGTGGGTTTGAACCCACCGCAAAACCTACTTCACAACTCCCATTGATGTCTGCTGTCATTGTGTCCTTGGGCAAGACACTTAACTCCACTTTGCCTGAAGACCCTACTGACAAATCAAGGCTCCTGTGGACTCACCACCTGCATGAGGATCAGTGAGGGGCTGGTGCTATGTGGACTGGGTGCAGCTCTGACTGCCATCCCCTGACCCAGGAATGGATTAAAGGGAAGAAAATGGATGGATGGACCTTAAAATGTTTTTAAAAGACGCGTTTGTGGTTGGTGCATCAGAGTGACTGATGTTTGATGTCAGAGCCACAAACTCAAATAACTGTCCTGAATATCCAATTACACACATTGGTTTTCCTAATATAAGATTTGGGAGGCTGGATCAGGGCTCAGTGTTTACAGTGGCCTTCTCCATGTTGTTCTCTCACTCCTGGCTCTGCTCAGAGATGCTTTACAGCCAGCTCTGGCTTAATGTCATGTGAGAATGTGTCAAAATCTGCTGCTGCCAAAACACGTCACGGCTGCAGAAACTACCATGTCAACACTGGCACACAGACTCAGGCCACACGTTTGTGGAGATATATAAGGAGTTAAACCCAGGGGACAGAACCTAATCCTTGGTCTTAAACCCAGAGGAGAGGCCTTCTCTGTGGTCTTAAACCCAGAGGAGATGCCTTCTTTGTGGTCTTAAACCCAGAGGAGAGGCCTTCTCTGTGGTCTTAAACCCAGAGGAGAGGCCTTCTCTGTGGTCTTAAACCCAGAGGAGAGGCCTTCTCTGTGGTCTTAAACCCAGAGGAGAGGCCTTCTCTGTGGTCTTAAACACAGAGGAGATGCCTTCTCTGTGGTCTTAAACCCAGAGGAGAGGCCTTCTCTGTGGTCTTAAACCCAGAGGAGATGCCTTCTCTGTGGTCTTAAACCAGAGGAGAGGCCTTCTCTGTGGTCTTAAACCCAGGGGACAGGGCCTTAGACAGTCACTGCAAAGTGTTTCAGAAACCTAAATCACAATGGGCTTCATTCACCAATATATTTCTAAAAATTTTCTTAAAGTCGCAGTATGTAAGATTTGCATGTCAAGTCATCATTAAATGATTTAAATCATTAAATCATACTCTTTTCGAATACATCTTTAACTGATAACAGTTAAAGTTAGTTCAGCCGAGATATTTGATCATCAAAATTAGTTTTACGACCCGTAAAAGTTGTTATTGTTTTGATTTTGATGTCCTACCCTCCGCCGTTTCGCCAATCAGGAAGTGTCATGTAAGTCCGTGATCGGGTTGCCAGAACTCCGAGTGGCTCATTAATCTCAGTGGTAAAATAACATGTGGCGCAGAACTAAAAAAGGTCTTGTTATGACTCTCAAATAATTAATGACAAAACAAAGACTAAAACGAGGATTTATATCGGGATGCCTTTGAACAATTGAGACAGCTGATAAAATTTTACGTGTGATGCAAAATTTGCTGGTTTGACTCCATTCTTCAGACTCATTCTTACCGCGCGAGTCGGTGGTCTAGTGGTCAAAGCTTTGCGCTCACAATGCAGTGACCCGGGTTCGGTTCCGGATAGAGTCTTTTCGTATTTAATTGCATGTTATCACATTCTAGGACAGATTGCTCTACAAGCAGTAAAAGACAAAAATCAAGACGTAAAAAAACTAAACATCTTCTTTTTTTGCAGATTATAGCTTAATTGTAAAAAAAATCATTTAAGACCACATGTACCCCAATTAAAATAATGTTAGTCTCTTTTTGATGTGGGACTTATACATGTTTGTCTAAAAAATAGGGAATAAATACAATTGAAAGGTGATATCCTCTGGAGCACACCCTGATGTTGATACGCTGAAGAAATACGTTCCAACATCCATTCGTCCCACACCTATTTTGGACATCAATTGCTTATTTATTTTGGATAATCTATAATTACATTGCTTTATTTTGTTTTGTGTTTTTATCTCAAATGTCCAAATAAAAAAATAATTAAACATTCATTCAACATTTGGTGTGTATCTGGCAACCTGAGTCAGGGAGAGTGGCAGAGGACTACAACATATTGACAGTACCACTTTTGGCCAGATTTGTACATATTGTTCCTTTAAATTTCTTCTTAAGTCGTTCTTAAGAAGATTTCTAAGAAGGCCCTATGTGGGATTCATCAACGCGTTCTCAAGCCACTGAATTGTTCGCATGAATGCCATCTCCTCATAAGTTGAGCGCGTGTGCCAGGTGAGTCATTAGCATAGGTATGTATAACAGTCACTTATTTATTTATATATATATATAAATATATACACGTGTGTGTGTGCGTGTGTGTGCAAAGAATTTGAAACAAAAAGAGACATCAAATTTCCGTCGGGACGCATCAGACATGGGGGGACAGCAGACACGACAACCATGTCTGAATAAGACCAGCGCGTCTAGGCCATCGGAAAGACGGCCTTCTCATGTAGGCTATGGGAAAAATCAAGATCACTATTATGTATTCCATTTAATTGACGATTAAAAATTCCCTTCTTTTTTGGTGTACCATCCACTGAGTCTTTGAACACAGACCTGGGCCCCAACGCAGCGCTGTCACTCCCTCCCTGTGCTCAGATTAATAGGAAGGAAATTTGTTTTATTATCTGGAATAATTACGTTTCTTTTTATATTTAAAACGTGTGCCCAGTAAGGGAGTAGTTTACCTTAGTGTGTAAGCTCAAATACGGTTTTATCGGACTGGGGTTGCAAACTTGGCTTGATTTTTATTTATTTTCTTTAATCAACAATGAAGTCCTGCGAAGCCAACTTGAAACAGAACCAGAACCAAAATGGACAGAGCCCTCCTGCAGCAGCACATCTGCTCATCTCAGATGCGGTATCAGGAACAGAGAGCAGAGACGCCGGGGAAGATTACTGTACTTCAACACTGGGAACCATATCCAAAATTCTTAAAGATATGTATGAGAATTTCAAAAGAAAATAAAGATGTGCACTGGAACTGGTCTGTCCTTGTATTTAAAGTGAAACCCAGTTGCTTGTTATATTTTACTTGTAATATTTCAACTTTATTCACAAACGAGCAATTAACTGCTCTCTAACATGAACAGTGCATCTGCAGTCTGGTCCAATCATTGCATTGACACATATAATACATTTTTTTAAATGGTTGTTTTTTTTTTTTTTTTGTTGACATATCACTGTAATGTTGTGTTTTATTGACCTTAACAAAAGTAGACACCATCAACATATGCCAGCATGTCGGCACTGAATGTGCTTAGGAGTGCTCCTGAGTGTTCGTAGGATTTGTTCTTAACAAAAAGAAATCATGGGTAAGAGAAAATTAATGAATTAATGAATGCCACAATCTTCATAAGTGCGACTAAAATTTGTTCCTTGTGAATGAGGCCCATTGTTTGTATCCAGGTTAAAACTGTTCTGTTTCACTGACAGACAGAATGATTGTATCTTCACTCTTTGTGATGCACTGTGATTATCTTTGATTGTGTATGAATGGTGCTATTAGAAAAGACAGAACCATGTAATATACGGTTCAGGATTCATCAGAAGAAAGTGCAGATTCTGCCTGTGACAAATCCAAACCTGCTGCTCTATAATGTGATGTCAGCGGAATGTGACTGCGGGAGGCCACCCCATAATACTAATGAGCTGGCAGCTGATGTGAGAGGTGGCGTTGCATAGCAACAGAGGTGTGTCGACTCGGTGTGTGATGAGTCAGAGGGATGTCCTTGAGCAACACACTTCATCAGGAGCTCGTGACGCAGTGGGTTCAGGAAGTTTGAGAGAAACAACGATGACTCACGCTTCAGGCACAGAGGGAACATGATGTGAGCCTATTTCATAGATTTATCCAGGATGGATTTATTTATCCGATTTTCAGAGACACAACTAAATGAATAGGCAAGGCTAGTTTATTTATATAGCACAGCTCATTCACAAGGCAACTCAAACTGCTTAACGAAACAAGATCACACAGGAGCAGGAGTAGTAGCAAAGCAGAGCAAAAGAGCATTTTTTCATAAACTCACAAGGCCTTCAGTAGCTGAGAAATACTTGGTCAGGTGCTAGTTGACTCAGATTCAGAGTAGGCCGACACTGACATTATTAGTGACGGGGAGGCCGCGCACCATAGCCCACAATCAGCACACAGGTGCACATGGTCAAGAGGGCAGGGGGGTCATAACACAGCACATATGGGTGAATATAGAGTATCAAAAGTGGAGAAAAGAAACTTTGAAGAGCCTGTTGGTTATTGTGGAGATTCTGCGCTCAATGATTTCATCTCTCTGTTTATAAACAATGAATTCTGGAGCCCACCCAGTATGCCCACCAGTTCTTTAAAAGGGAAACTTTGAAACTAAACTCCAGGTTTCAACCGACTTGATCATTGAAGGTTTTTGAGAATACAATTACATGTGGCTGACAAACAGTACTAATAGATTATATAAATTAAATTTATATAATCCAAATTTCCATTCCAAATTGCCTTTATATTGACTGTTGATACTATTTCCTTATCTAAAATCACTCTCAAACTACAGCTTTTGAAATCTTTATAAAAAAAATTACACTTTTCAAATAGGCCGCCACCTAATTGGAAAATGCAAACTAGATGACGGATCAACTTCCACATCAAATGTAAGTTCATATTGAAAATATGTCTCATTTACAGTATGCATTTATCTCAAACCACTTAAAAGTTATAGCCTTTTTAAATCTCAATATCAATTTTTTTATGTATGTGAAA